TTCGTTTTTGAAGTTAGATCATTAGCTTTATGGAGATTTATAAAACTTCTTTTCATAATCTCCAAGTTACCTTAGCTAAAGACTTCAACAAGCTAAAATCAACTGAGAACTGTTAGGATATGTCCCCTAAATCACTTGGGATGATGATTCCTTTCTTGATAACTTATTTACCTTCACATGCTTCATATTATAACTAACCATATCTTGTTTTGGCATCCATGATCAAATATATAGCACTTCACATATAAGACAAATTAGTGTCTCAAGTTTACGAAGTATTTACACGACTAATACATGAAAAATATTTGCACAGACACTAGAGTAGTATACAAAATGCATTTCTCATGTCAGGTCACGTTCAGTGAACCTGCTCTCCTAATGCAAGGACCCACATGCTAATTCCAAGTATTTCAATACTTTAGCCTTTGAGATTGATTGCTCAATCTTTGAGTATTATTGATGCCACGTCTCAATGATACAATGATCATGAACTTTTATGAACAACGCTTTGATGCATAATGATCTCATAATTATATCTCAATATAATTTATTTGCATAGCATGTATAGTTTCATGAGCTTTATCTATATAATCTTAAATAGTAATTAAATTACAAACTCATGGATAAAGAACTGCCTCAATATTACTATAAATAACAAAATGTCATACATAGATATATTAAAGTGTCATTGCCATACAACCGCATATTGGCTTGTAGGCCTCATACTAACAGATCCAACTATTTATAATTTTTTTTTTTGAACAGGCCCAACTAGTTGTAAATAACTCAATAAGGAAATATAATTCATGACCTTTTGACTTTTTTAAATTGGATTATTCTTCATTTAAATATAAATTTTGATTTAGCAAATGTATATTGGATTTTCAATTCAGAGCATCATGAATTGAATTGAGACAAAGAAATAAAAATTAATAAACAAGTTGGATTTTCAATTCGGAGGACTGATTGCATTCACTTGCCTACTTTTACTAATCAATACTTTTCTCAAAAAGGATTTCGCAGGCAGAAACATCTAATTTTGCTCTTTTCTTTACAAAATTTTGGAAGGAGACATTAATCTTCCCTTCTTCCTCAAATTTAACCAACGCCCTCTCAAAGTAAGAGAAGTACTAACTCATTGCCTTACTTATCCAGGTCATCGACCTGTCTACTACTTTATATTATATTTTTAATCTTTTGGGTTCATGTTATTTAGAATCTTATAACATAACTTCATTATCTATGGGAAAAGTTCTACATAATTATTTTGGTTCTTTCATCGCCATGCTTCTATTATCATAATTGGGCTGAAAATAATCACAGTGTCAATAAGAAATAGGAATAATTCCAAAAACTTTAGCAAATAAGGTTTTCACCTCTATAACACTAGAGGTTTTCCTCTTTTTTGTTTCTAGTACTGATTTTCAATCTTTCATGTCAGCCTTTTTCCAGAAAAAAGTTGTACTTAACAAGGAGCAAGGTGGATTAATTTGCAGGTTCATCTACTTGATCTTTGTTCTTCATTTTTCCACATAATTCGAAGAAGAAACCAGGTATTTTTAATGTGGTTCGACTCTTTCAATTTATTCTTGTAATTATTCGACTCTTCAAGAATTTGTGATGGTTCTCTAGGGGAAAAATGAATGCTACATATAAATAGTATATATTTTCATCAATATATAAATAATGTTAGAAATCTAGACAATATTCTCGTAGAACTTCTTGTTTCTACTAACATTTTCAAAAACATTATTTTTGCTTTTGTTTTTTCTTTAGAAGAACTCGTAAAATTTTGAATTTTAGTAATTTCTTTTTAACATAATCTAGATATATATAATAGTATATGAAAATATAGAATTTTAGTCAAATGTACAAACGTCAGACGAAAATTATAGAAAAATTAAGTCACAACCGACTGGAAAGTTGACATATAATAAAAGGTTTTGGTGTGAATGAAGTACCGTCAACCTTTGAACTTAGCCTAAGTTGCTTCCACCCCTTTAAAGTATATAAAAGACTCGTTGAATTGAGACAAGGAAAGAAATATTAATAAACAAGTTGGGCATTTCATATTAATCTTCCATTCCACTAATTTAAACCAAGATCCTCTAAGGATAGGAGAAGTAACTATTCTTTACCTCACTTAATCAAGTAATTGAACTGTCTACTACTTTATATTCATGTTTTCTAGAATCTTATAATCTTTTAACATAATTTCATCATCTATGGATAACTTGCACAAAATTGTTTTGGTTCTTTCTTTGTCATGCTTCTATTCTCTTAATTGCATTGAAATTAATTATAGTGAATAAAAATAGGAATAATTCCAAAAATTGTAGCAAATAAGCCTTTTACCTATATAACACTACTGAACAAACACTTCCATTTTATCTTTGCAAACTAGAACGCGTGATCAACAATGGCAGGTGGGCATACTACAATTGCTTTCAATGTTGATGAGGATGATTACCAGACATTTATCCAAAGCCTAAGATCCATACTCTCATACTCCACATCACATGATCTCAATGTGCTCATGCCACAGACACAGCCTCTAAGCTGGTTAGATATTCGCCTAACTTCTGGTGATTCCACAATGATCTTGAGAATTGAAAAAAGAAATCTATACGTGCGTGGATATTCGAGAGATAACGGCACAACATTTTGGGAGTTTTCGGATTCATCTTTGATTTCTAGATCGACACCTCTTGCATATACTGGAAGCTATGCAGATGGGTACACTTTGATTAATGCTGCCGGTGTTACTCGTGAAACTGTTCAGCTGGGTTTTTCTAATTTGAGTAATGCCATTGTTAACCTAGCAACAACAGAGAACCCGAACTCGACCCAAAACAATGCATTGCAGAATTGTGCTAGAGCACTACTAGTTCTAACTCAAATGATTGCTGAATCTGCTAGGTTTCAATTAACAACCGACCACATTGTTACAAATTGGTACAATTCTGCACCACTAACTTGGCAGCTGGTCGAGTTGGAACAAGGCTTTGAAAGTTTTTCTAGTGCTGTCCAACGTGCTGACTTCCCCTACTGGACAAATAATACGCCCTTGCCTAATGTCCCGCACCCTAATAGATTCAACATTTGGACTGTAGGTCAAGCCATTGCCGCACTTGGGATCTTGTTGTATGTCCCACGAACAAGCAACCGCGTGAAACGCCAAACTGATGTTGGTGCTAGCACTGCTCGTAATGTGGATACTGCTGCTGATACAAATGTTTCATACGTGCGTACATTGGTGAGCATCGAGTATGTACGTGTGAATGATATTGATGGTGAGGATCCTGGTGACCTCTATGGAACGGTGAAGGTCAAGGACTTTTGGGGCCTTCATACGGTGTATGATCGAAGTTCAAGTGACTATGAAAGCAAAGGTCCTGGTGGATATGCCACATTGACAGGCCCTTCTACTGCTATTTCAGGTGGTGATGTGTTCATTATCAAAGTCAATTTGTGGGATCATGATAGCTTGTCCCCCGACGACGAGATTGCTCAAGGCGACATTGTGTGGGAACCAAGAAAAGAGAATATAACTTTCACCAACTACGACAAGCGTTTAGAGAAGGTTGTGTATGGTGAAAATGGCAATGTCACGGTGGGTTACTCTGTAATAAGACAAGCTCTCAATGCCACTATCGAGGTTTTGTTGATCAGTGGGGATAATGAATCGCCAGCGGATGTGTATGGAACAATTAAAGCTTCCCAAGATTTAGGGGGATCATCGACATCCCTCTCATTGTTTGAGAAATCATCCGATGAATATGTCGAAGTGCGTCCTTATCAGTCTATTCCCCTAACTCGTTCGGTTGTGGTAGCGCCAGTAAGTTCTGGGTTAACAATAACGACAGATTTGTGGGATTATGATACAGCGTCACCTGATGACCAAATTGCGAAGGGAAGTGCACACTTTGATGCAATGGTTGGAACCCAAACCAAGAGCATATACGGTGAATATGGTGAAGTGCAAGTATCCATCACTTGCGAGTAATCGAGGAAGCAACACTCCCCTTGCCCAACTTTTCTCACTGGTTGGTCGGTTGGGATACATAGTAAATAAATGGAGTGGGAAAGGGATGAATATTGTTATGTTGTAATATATTTTGAATTGTTTGCAAGAGTTGTGTAACTGTTAGTGTATGGTATCTTGTATCCATTTTATTTTGTTTAGAAATTGGATGTAATGCTAAATATAATAAAGTTTGCTTTTGTTTGATTTATGCTGGCAAATGTATTTGTTTGCTGAAGGATTGAAAAAGGAAATTTAACAAGAAGACAGTTTCCTTGATAATATGCAGCCTTAAGCCACCAGGGTGACACTACCTACATGAAATCTAGAAGTTAAAATCGATGTAAAATTACAGAATGAATTTGGAAGTGTTTAATGGGTGATGAGGTTGGAATGATTAGAGTTAGAGGGTCTTGGTTAAATTTGTGGAAGAAGGGAATTAGTGAAGGGGAAAATCTTAGAGGCAATGAATTGGTTAGATATCTCCTCCCAAAATTTGTCAAGAAAGCTAAATAAGATCTCTCTCCTTGCAAAATCATTCATGAGAAGAGAATAAATTATGAAGCAAATGAGTTGTTAATGTTTCTTTGTTTGTCTCAATTTTATATATTTTAAAATGATGCATACGTTGAGAAAATCTTTATTTTATTTTTCATGAGCTGCCATTTGAGTCTGCTCAGCATATTTTATCTTCTATGCTTAAAATCAGAAAAAGAAGCAGAAAAGCAAAGCCAAGATGATAGCAACAAGGAAAATCTCCTGTCCAAATCTTAATATATCTTTCGTGAGAAGAGATAATGGATTAATAGTGGGTAATAATGGAGCAAGTCATCGCTGAGGTTTCCAGGTAACTTGGTTAAAACCTGCTACAAATTGAAGCAAATGTGAAGGGAAGGAAATGTGGGAGCGAGTTATAAGGACTGAATTATTTCCTTCAGTGGAAGCTAGCTATTTATTATACATATTTCCTTCAATGGTTATAATTATAATGTTTTTCTTCCCCCTTTTTTTTTAAAAAAAACAAGTTGTTATAACTATATGAATTTGTTCGATCCTTGACTTTCTCTATCAATCGGCTAGAGTTGAGAAGCAGACAATGTTTTAAGAAGTTTATGTGAATTAAATATTGCGAAACAAAGAGAATGGGTAAACAAATATATTAGTCTACTCTATATAAAAAAGTAGGAACTTCAAATGTCAATCTATGATTTAATTATTGGATTAATATGTACTACTAACACAATCAAGGGTTCTGAATATCAAGAGTTGTTATTAACACTACTCTGAATTAGTATTTGTAATGTTTGTCCTTTATTTTTAATCAATTCTAACAATGTAAATCCAAGGAAAGTTTCATGCAATTGAAATATAGTGTGAAGTAATGAGAAGAGGGGAGGAGTCAATCAAGTTTATTCGTATTCTCAAAAAGGACAAATCTCTTAGAAATTTACCAATTGAAACATAAAGCAAATTAGCAAAGAAACAAGGCTTTAAATGAAGGTCATCAAGTAGAAGGGAGGCTTGGATTTAAGTTTAGAGAATGTTTAGGCTTAGGAAATTTTTGGGAAAGAATAATGCGAGAGTAAGTTTATTAGAATAATGAAGTGAAACACATACAGTATGGCGAGATTTAAGGAGCAGGCAAGGGTCTCCATGGATATCAAGTTCAAAAACAAATTGCTGAAATGAACAGGCCATAATGACGTTATTATAATCCAAGACTAACTAAATCCTTGTTCAAAACTCCTTGAAAGTTGATTCACAGCAATTTCCTGTGTACATCCACTTGACAGTAGTTCCAATGTTAGGTGGTGAGACTTCAGACCAAAAAGGCGAGCCAAGGCTTCTGTTAAGCATATACTCATAAACCAGCAGTCTTTCCTTTCCATGAATGCAGCACCCAAGAAACCTTACAAGATTTTGACGCTGAAGTTTGGCAATCAATTTTACTTCATTTTTAAACTCGTTCAAACCTTGTCTAGAACTCTTTGAAAGTCTCTTCACAGCAATTTCTTGTCCATTTGCTAGCGTCCCCTGGAAAGCTACATTTTTTAATAAGCTTCCATAATAAAGATAAATTCTCTGTACTTCAATATTATGATGCAACTTTACCTTATGAACAATTCCAAAACCACCTTCCCCTAGCTTGTTGTCCATAGAAAAGCTATGGTCGCAAGCTCGAATATTGGAGGCTCCACGTCTTCATCCTAGCTGTGATTTTCTTTAACATTTTCCTTATTGTCTTCTGTTTCTCTGAAACAGTAGTCAACATAGGCTTGGCATTCACTATAAAATATGCATTTTGATTGAGCTGATGTGGTTTTTAAGATCACATGAAACGAAGTATCCCCAGCCATTTGTTTTATTAAAAACTCTTTAAATGTATTAGCTGACAGTTGTTAAAACTGTAATGTATCTCAGCTGCAATGGAGGATGGTTTAATGATGCTTTGAATGGGTGGAGATGAGATCACGAGCAGCAGCATGTGACCAGTTTAAAATAGCAGTTTATGCATTAGTTATTTTCAGTTTTTTTTTCTTCAGCATTATGTCAATTAGCAACGTGGATTTACCATGTTGACCACTAATATCATGCTACAGCAGAAACAGTTATTGGTGGTTTTATTGTTTAGTTATGTACTGGTCTTTTGTTTTTTATTTTGCTCTCTCTGTTCTGTAACTACTGGATATATATGCTCAATGAAAAACAGAACATTGTGTCTTTGTCTTCATAGTTTTCTCTTGGCTTGATTAAGTTTCAATGTAATTTTCTTTTTATTCATCTTTTCTGAACAACAGTAAACAGCCCCAAAAACACAGTATAGTGGTGTTGCAACCACTGCAGCAAGCTTCAGCCTAGGCTTATCTTTCAATTCTGTAGGACGAAATTTGATAAAGAAAAGCATACATGAACAAAACAAAAAAGCCAGCAAAAGCAAATGAAAATGTATACTCATACTTGATTTTGAAGCAGACACTTAACATGCTGATCCTGCCCTTCTGATTGAAATTGTTTGAAGCAGACACTCTAAAAAAATGCCTTTTTTTTGTTTGCAATTTCCATCCAGGAAGACAGATTGAAGGAAAGAGCAATTATTTAGCAGATTAGAAAGAGATATATGAATCAAAATAAAAACAGAATCTTTGCAGTTTTAACAAGAAGCAAGAGGCAACTTTACCACTAAAAGCCGTCGACCCACAATTCATCGAATACTTCATCCCTATCTTCCTCTACCAATATTTAACAAAGGGAGAAAGGACTTCCTTAGCATCAGGCTGATCCCATTCCACTGATTCTCACCATTCTATCACCCTTATAATGATTTGTTTAAGAGAAGGAGGAGGAGATGGTTGCCCATGTTCAACAAGGGGAAGAGACAAAAGGATCCTCTTTTCTTCTCCACATGCAACCATATGAAGAATTTGGAGAGACAATCTGGAGGAATTATAGCTCCACCACTACAAATGCTTTTCAATTTTGGTAAGGAACTAACGGCAACGATTTTAATTTGGGAAGAATAAATGCTGTTCCTTCTCCCTTGTGATTTTCTTCTGAAGCTATTATTTCCTCCATTTCTTCACAACTTTGAACATAAATATCCTCTAAGAATATTAGTTTGTGGTGTTGAGGAAAATGGTATGACAGTGGAAGAGAATTCATGGTTAAGTCGGTTTAAAGGACTATCATGGGTAGAAAAGCGTTGTTGTGGATTTAAAGGTTCACTTGTGGTTGATAGGGTGTGATTAGATTGTATGAAGGTGGATAATGGGATTATATTTGGTGAGGACTCAAGATGAGACTAGTTTAAGTGTCTGCCTTGGATAAAGGAAGAAGGTTCCATGTTTTCTTCGAAACTAGTCTGCTGGTTTTGTTCATAAACAACTGATAGAACTTTGAAATGGGGTATTATTGATGAAGTTGTGATGGAGTCTATAGTACCTGCACTTGTAGACCATTCACTAAAAGCAGTAACTTCATTAATAGTCCAATTGTTAGAGAATAACTTGGTAGGTTTTTGAAAAGGATAAATTTCCTCATCAAAAACCACATGTCGTGATATATACATTTTTTTTTTGTTGAAGGATAATAACACTTACATCCTTTGTATACTTCACTGTATCCAACAAATACACATGGTAAGGAGTGAAGGTCAAGTTTGGTTTTGTTGTAAGGTCTTAAGTAAGGGAAACAACGACAACCAAAGACTATTAAGGATGGATAGTCGGGTTTTCTATTGTATAAAAGCTCATAAGGGCTCTTCACCGTAATATTCTAGAAGGTTGTCTATTAATCAACCAAACTACAATTCCAAAAGCCTCATTTCACAAGTATTTAGGAATTCTTCCGTGAAACATCATAGTTAAACCTAATTCAGATATGTTCCTATGTTTTCTTTCTACAATCCCATTTTGTGGTGATGTATGAGGATAAGACATTTGATGTTTAGTGCCAAACTTGGATAGGCATTAAACTTGGTGTCTGTGAATTCTGCCCCACCATGAGATTGAAACACTTTGATCTTTTTTTCAAATTGATTTTTAACATATTTATGGAACTCAATAAAACATTGGGAAAAATCATATTTATTCTTCAAGGGAAAATACCATGTAAACCTTGTGCCAAACTGTCACAATGAATGATAGAAGGAGGGTCCTTACTTAAATCCTTTCTACTTGCAATGGCAGTCTACATGCTTTGGCCATTTAACAGCTAAAGCAAACATGTCTTTTATTGCTAGAATTATTCTTACTGGAGATTAAATTTTGATGTTTGAGCATATCAATGATGTTCATTTGAGCATGTCCTAGCCTTGCATGCCGAACTTCTGTTGAAGCAGTTTGAAATCTGTTGGAGAACAATGTTGTTGTTGTTGAACTGTTATTTGATTGCAGGGCATAAAGGCCTCCATTTTTATTTCCTGTTGCTTTGACCTGCTTTGTCTCCTTGGCTTTTATCACAAATCCATTAGATGAGAATTTACAAGTATAAGGATAATCAAAAGTTAATTGATTGATAAATAATAATTTTTTCTTAATTTGAGGGACAACAAGAACATTTTGTAAATGTAGATTTTTTTTTTTCAATTTTAAGTGATGTAGATCCTATGTGAGTAATGTCTAGCATGTGTCCATTACCTACCATAATTTTGTCAAATCCATGATATGACTTGAAAATATTTAGCTTACCAGTGCTAGAAGTTATATGAGACAGGGCTCCTATGTTTGGATGCCAGATTTCATCTTGAATATCTATGTAGTGATGGCCGCTAGAGCTTATGAAGGAATTTCTAGTTGATAAAGTTGATTGAAGCATTGCCAACAATTAAGAGCAGTATGCCTTGGTTTGTTGCAGATTTGAAAGTAGGTTTGAGTGTCTTGGTCTTACGTGGTAGAGACATTTGCTGCAGATGTGAAAGGTCTTGCACCTAGAATGCCATCCTTAACATGTGAATGAGTAGATTAGGGAAAACCTCTACCTTAAGATGAGAAACTACTATGTGATTGTTAAGGTCTGTTGTTGAAGATCCTTCTATTAGATTGATGTTAACAAAGTTGGCTAACAAAAGCCATATTTTGATTTAAAGAACAAAAACTTTTAGGAGAGTTGACAAACTTCATTGTCTCATGTCCTTGAAGCAAAGGAACAATTTCATGAAATGATGGTTTAGGAGGTTTCATCATAGTTGTTACAAATGACTCATATTCATGACTAAGACCCCTGAGTAATTGGAACACTTTGGTTCTATCACTTACTGGTTTTCCAATAGCAGCCAAGTCATTACAAATGGCTTTGAATTTGCTGATGTAGTCAGGAATGGAGAGATTATCTTTTCTATGAGTTTGTAGAGTTTGTAGAAGATAAAACTCCCTTTCTTGTGATTCTTGGGCAAAGGCATCCACTAAGGCATTCCACACATCTAACGATGTTTCTAATCCAACAAGAAGTCCAAGCACCATTTCAAATAATGTACCTGTTATCCAACCTTGCAGAAGGGAATTTAATTTTTTCCAAAGTATAAACTCTGGACTAGTTTGATTAGGCATGGTAAATTTACCATCAAGAAAACCAAGCATATCTTGGCTTTCAACTAATCCCATGACCTGAGTTTTCCATAAAAGAAAAATTGTTTGGTTGAGATGGATAGAAACAAAATTTCCTACATTCAGTGTTGAAGGGCATGGATATTTAATAGATGAGGCCATTAAGAGAGGAGAGATAGCTAGTAAGGTAATTTAAGAAAGGTCAAGAAAAAAAAAACAATAAAGATGTAATGATAGTAGAAATTTGGAAACAGTAAAAAGGGCTTGATAGTGAAAAAAAGTAAAAAAAATGTGATGATATTATTAGTTCAAAAAAAAATAGAAGAGATGTGATACTAACATAATAGTAAGAACAATAAGTATAAAGAAAGAAAAATTGTAATGATAGTGAAATTTCAGAAGAGAAAGAGATTGAGATTGGGTAAAAGTTTCTCAAAATAGTTAGAAGGTTTGATTTGATTTTGAATTTAGATATTTAAGAAGGAATTTAGAATGGAAGAACAATTAAATCATCAAATATTAAAATGACAGAATTATAAGATAAGAAGAGCAATTAGGATAAGATTAGGATGATAGAATAAGAATAAGTAAAAAAGAAAAAAAAAATCAGAAAAGGAAGTATAAGAAACAGAAGATTTTGACTCAACCTGCTCACGTAAGATAATAGACAGAAAAAAACAGCTCAAGTAAGGTAGTAGGCAGAAGAAACAACTTTGAAATAGAGGGGAAAAAAAATAGAATTCATGCAGAAATTCCTTTGATGCCATGAAGAAGTTTAGGAACTGAAAGCAGAGGGAGAGAAAGAGGTTGAGAGAGACAGTAGACAAGAGAGGAAGAGAAAAAACAAACGTATAAGTTTTTGTATTTTTTTTTCTGCTTGAGAACTTAGTTGGTTCTCCTCTCTTTAAATAGCTTACAAACCATGTTATATAAGAAAACTTTGTCCAACAATAAGGAGAGATTATAGGGTCAATAATGGTGTATCAATCTTCCAAAATTGGTGCAATGTCTCTTCACAGAAAATATTGCAATACTTGCTGCTGATGTATTGCTGATTTGCTACTGGTTTGTGAGTGATTTGGTGCCGTTTTGTGAGAGATTGCTTGCTTGGTTTGTGAGAGATGATAGTGTTCTACACATAACCCTGTTTCTTGTGCAAATAATGATCTGCGCAGCATGTTTAAATTTTAAGAAAACTGACCTGGCTAGGTTTTAAGTTTCCTTTATCTATTAATCCATCATTGATTTGGCTTTATCTTTAGAAATCAAAGCCTTGGAATGTGGTTTGTAGACTGATGTTATGTACCTTTCTCTGTTCAAAGAAGGATAGTAAGTGTGTTGCAGAATACTTGGAAGAGAAATCTGTCATACAGAATTGTATAATTTAGATCGATATCTTAAAGAATTTGATAGCTTCTTGTCCGGTTCGTGTGAAGGATAGGAAATGAGGTAAATGATGGAGAAATAGGAAAGTGATTCTATGAGACATGAAAGTCCAATTAGTGCCCCACAAGTCACTAATCATGACTCCCTATTTCTCTAACTTTTGTCATATTTTATGTCGCCACTAACACAATGGATGAATTTTTAATTGCTTCCCCTTTCCTTAACTTCTCTTTTACTAACTAATTTAGTCGTACAAGTTTACCTTAGATTCTTCTCGGCTGCCCAAACAATTAAAAAAAGCTTAGGTTATTGTTTCATTAAGAAAAATGAGCAAGTGTTCACTCTCACTTTATCATCTTTTATTTTATTTATATTTTCTTTAGTTTAAAGCAGCTTTAAGGGAAATGACCTCGAAACCAATGTCATGACTTGCATTGACTTATTGACTTGCATCGACTTTAATTATTTTTTGCTTCATAATTCATTAATTCTCTTCTCACAAATCATATTAGGATTTTCTTTTTTGCAGGGAGATCATCTGATTGTTGTTGCTATTTTTCTTGATTGTTTCTCAAATTTATTAAAGGCTTTCTGAGGATAAGAGTATCATCTCATTGTCTCACTGAACCAAGTAAGTTGTCTATACTTATAATTTATGTTTATCTTTGGTAACATTAATTAATCAGAATCTTAAATTCATCTTACCATAACTTCCACATTAAATATTAATACACAAGTTGGGCATTTATTTTAGTTTCCAGGTAAAACATTCATCTTGCCCACTTTTCAATAATTCATTATTCATTTTCTTCCTTACAGAGGATAATTTGGAAGACGTGCTTGTTGTTGTTTTCTTGATAAACTTTTGTAAGGAGATCTTAGTTACCAGCTATCACAAAATTAATCAAGACCTCTAAGGATAGGAGAAGTACCAACTCATCTGCTTCACGTCACCAGGTAATTATGCTTCTAGTCCCTCAATTAGGTGGACGATAATTATATTAAGTGAAATCTGAAAATGAATAATTCTTAATAGTTTAGCACATAAAATTTTCGCTTTTATTGACATTAGCAACTTTCTTTGTTAAATCTATGTCAGTTTGTTTCTTCTGCCTAAGAAGTCTGTGCTTAACAAAGAGTCAAGGAGGTTCGTGGATCATTTTCATTGACTTTGGGCTTCATCTTTCCAAATAAATTGAAGAGGAAATCAGGTATTTTGAATGTCATTCCATTCTCTATGAAAATCTTAAATAAGGAGATATTTGTCAAATTCCCCTCTTTGCTTTTGTTTTCTCTATGAAAGGAAAAAAAAAGGGCTGCTAAGTTTAAATGGACTATTTGTACTAGTCTTAATTTATTTTCTAATAAACCCTTAACATAAGGATATATTCTAATATAGACTCAATTATTTATAAATAATTCAGTAAAGTGTCTAATTGTCACATTTTGAGATTTTCACAGCTTCCACTTCATTTTAGTTTTTCTTTAGCGGCATTTGTAATTCTTTGCATAAATCCCATAATTAGTCTAAATTTTCTTCTCCCCATTAAAATATATAAATCTCACACGAAATTATGCAAAGGTTCTCATATGAATGAAGTATCATGTACCTTATAAATTTGTGATTCTTTGCTTAAATCCCATAATTAGCCTAAGCTGCCTCCACCCCTTTAAAATATACAAAACCCTCATTGCATTGAGACAAAGAAAGAAATATTAATAAACAAGTTGGGCATTTCATCTTACTTTATAGTTTCCTGCAGAGGACAAATTGCATTCACTTGCCTACTTTTAATAATTCATTCTCTTCTCATAAAAGGACTTTGCAAGGAGAACCATCTGATTTTGCCCTGTTCTTCAGAAATTTTATAAGGAGATGTTAATCTTCCCTTCTTCCGCAAATTTATCCAAGTGATTGAACTGTCTACTCCTTTATATTATGGATTTTAGACTTTTGGATTGATGCTTTGTAGATTTTTATAACCTTGGAACATAAATTCATCATTTTTCAACAAGTTCCACAAAATTATTTTGGTTCTTTCTTTATCATGCTTCTATTCTCTTAATTAGGCTGAAAATAATCACAGTGGGTAAAAAATTTAAATAATTCCAAGACTTTAACAAATAAGATTTTCACCTTTATAACACCACTTATTTTCCATCATTAATTGTTTTTTAAGTAGATCATTTTCCCTCTTTTATGTCAGCTATTTCCCACAAAAAGTTTCTACTTAACAAGGAGCCAGAGGGATTATTAACGTCATAATTCTCAAAATAAGAAACATATATAAATATGATATATTCAAGAATTCACGATGGTTCTTAAATGGGGAAAATGAATACTATATAAAAATAGTATATATATTCATCTATATATAAATAGTTTTAGAAATGTAAATATTATACTCAAGGATGAATGGATGGTGGAAACAAAAGCTTCTTGTTTCTAATAATGTTTTCAAAAACATTGTGTCTTTTCTTCAGAAGAATTGGTGAAATTTTTTTATTTACTAACATTTTGTTCTAACATATTCTAGATATATAAATTATATGAAAAATATAGAATTTTAGTAGAGGGAGGGACTAGCGTATGTCATATGGAGACGTAATTTATGTTGGCTTATTAAACTACAGGAATAGCTTATATGGAGCTTATAGGGCCAATTTTTGAAGTGATGAAGTGCTTTGGTGGTCCAACCTGTACATACATAGATCATCACCGGAAACTTGAAGAACATATGAATGATCTTCGCGGAAAAATGAATGATCTAAACACTCGAAAGCAAGACCTCGAACTAAGAAAGGAAGCAGAGCTTCGTTGCAGAAAAGTGGTGAAGAAAGAAGTGGAGAACTGGTTTGAAGATGTACAAAGGGTTAATACTAAAGTGGAAGAGATTGAAAAGAAGTTCCATGATGTTTCATACTTTTTACGTGGCCGTCTAGGAAAATTTATTTCTCAAAAGATTGAAGAAGTAAAGGACATTTACCAACAGGGTAGTTTCCCTGATGGTGTGGCAGTTGATGGGCTTCCAATCCCCGGGGTGACGTTACCAACACCAAATCTAGAAGGTGAAATCGATGTAAAAGAGCAAATTTGGGAGTATTTGATGAGTGATGCGGTTGGACTGATTGGAGTATGTGGAATGGGTGGTATAGGGAAAACTACCATCATGAAGCATATCAATAATCAATTATTGAAAGATAATGGGTTTGATAATGTGATATGGGTCACCGTATCAAAAGAATTCAATATTTTCAAATTGCAAGAAGATATTGCAGATTCTCTGAAACACTCTCTTCCAAAAGGTGAATTGCAACGAGTAGCAACACTAAAAAATATTTTGGAGGGAAAGAGATATGTGTTGATCTTAGACGATGTGTGGAAACGGTTTTCTCTGTTGGATGTGGGAATCCCTGAAGAAACATTAGGGGTGGGGAGGAAAGTTGTACTTACTAGCAGATCGATTGAGGTCTGTAAATCTATGAGTTGTAAGGTGGTCAAAGTTCAACCGCTTTCAAAAAGGAGTCCATGAACTTATTCTTAGATCATGTGGGACATAGTGTTGTACAAGATCAAAATTTAAAAGACATTGTCAACAAAATTCTTGAGCAATGTGGCGGTTTACCACTTAGCATTTTGACAATAGCCGGGAGCATGAAAGGGGTAGATGATATTTGTGAGTGGAGGAATGCACTAACAGAATTAGAGGAGCGTGTGAAAAGTGTGAAAGGATCAGATATTGAAATATTTGAGCATTTGAAGTTCAGTTATGATCATTTGATAGATCCAAAAGTTCAAAATTGTTTCTTATATTGCTCCTTGTATCCGGAAGATTTTGAAATACGAAAAGTGGACTTGATTGAAGATTGGATAGATGAGGGACTCCTTGACGTCGTAGAGACCAGACAAGCAATGCATGACAGAGGCCATAGCATTTTAAATAAGCTTGAAAATAATTGCTTGTTAGAGAGGACTGCAACTTTTTATGGGGATGCAGTTAAGATGCATGATGTTTTGAGAGACATGGCATTGTATATCAAAGGTCATCGGTTCATGGTAAAAGCTGGTATGCAATTGAAGGAGCCACCAAGTGAGCAAAAATGGAAAGTGAGTATTGAGAAGGTTTCCTTGATGCATAATCCAAAGTTAGAAGTTCCTCCTCACATATCATTTGAATGCCCTCATTTATCAACCTTGATATTGCGAAACTGCTGCTTAAGAACGATTCCGGAATCTTTGTTTAAGCACATGCCTGGGCTAAATGTTCTAGATCTTTCCGGTAATAAAATTGTGGATCTACCCAATTCCATCTCTATCTTGAAAAATCTCAAAGCATTGAAACTTGCTTATTGTAACATGTTGAAATATCTGCCTTCATTAGCAGAGCTCAGAACATTGAGAAAGTTGGACCTCTATGATACAAGAATTAAAGAGATTCCTCATGGTATGGAAATGTTAAAAAACCTCAGATATCTTTATCTATGGTCAGTGAATCTAAAGCAGCTACCGGTAGGAATATTACCGGTGATTTCCCATATCCAATGCCTAATACTAGAAGGGCTGCAAGTAATGGGAGAAGAAATAGGCAAATTGAGGAAGCTTGAGTATGTTTCATGTTCATTTTGTGACATGCAAGAGTTTAAGAAATATGCAGAGTCTATACAAGGTAAATGGCCTACAGATTTCTATTTTAAAGTGGGATCTTTTTCGGTGAAACCTGTTAGGTTTTGCCCCGATTTCAAACATATTCTGAGAAGGGTAATATGCGAGAATTGCGAGATGGAGAGGTGTGATGATATAGTGGACACATTTGACCTTGATAATATATGTATTCGTAAGTGTGATGATTTCAAATGTTTAAGCAGTATTCCTTTGTTTCGTACGGCAACTGTCTTGACGTGTTCTGTTAAGGAGTGTGAAGGGATAGAGTGTGTGGTTGACTTGTCATTATCAGCTTGCAACGCACTTCAGAACATTGAGTATCTATTCCTTGAGCAACTGTGCAACTTGCGTGAACTTGTGAGGGTAGGAGTGGCGGCTGAATTTGAATCTACCTCTCATGCTCCAGCACCACCTGCCACCTTCTCTTCTCTTAAACTATTACAACTGTGTTGTTGTTCGAGGATTAAAAAGTTGTTTCCAGTTGAGCTATTGCAGGGCCTCCAAAACTTAGAGACAATTGATATTGTCCTTTGTGAAGAAATGGAGGAAATAATTGCATCAGAAGAAAATCACAATGGAGAAGGAACAACATTTATTCTTCCCAAATTAAAATCATTGCGGTTGGACGAGTTACCAAAATTGAAAAGCATTTGCACTGGTGGAATTATGATTTCTTCAGTTTCTCTCCGACAACTTTTTATATACAAATGTCCAGAACTGAAGAGGATCCCTTTGTCTCTTCCCCTTCTTGAAAATGGGCAACCATCTCCTCCTCCTTTTCTGAAAGCTATCATTGTAGATACAAGAGAATGGTGGGAATCAGTGGAATGGGATCAGCCTGATGCTGAGGATGTCTTTTCTCCCTTTGTTACATATTATTGAGAATGAGATGGAGAAGAGCTGTTCCATTAAATGTGCCTCCAAGGCTCTCAGTGGTAAAGTCCTTCGCTTCTTCTTAAAACTGCAAACATTCTCAGTTTCTTCTCACCCACATTCTGTTTTTGTTTTAAGTCATTTATCTGTTTCTGATTTAATGTTGTTGTTTCTGTAGCTGGACACAGGAAATTGCTGGCGCGCAGCTTCCAAGGATTAAATGAGTCCAGTGTAAATATTCTCTACATCAACTAACACCATTCAATCTGTCTTCTTGGATAGGAGATTTTGCTGGTGGCTTTCTTCCTTGGCTTTGTTTCATCTCTGCTTTGTTTTCCTGATTTTAACCAATAAATTTTGAGGGACTGATGCAATATCAAGCCACTACACTCGGTATATAGTGTTTACTCCTTTCTTCTTCTTTTTTTTTTTTTGGTTCTTTCATATTTGGTCATTTTCTTAATTAGAATCTTGAATTGGGGCATTATTTGATCTTTGGACTAATTATTTTGTTTCATTCTCTTATCTTTATGTTTCACATTATTATTTTTATTCCTGCTTCTTAATTTTCTTTTCCTCAAAGCTATAAATTCACACTTAAAACCTTTATTAAGATGCAAAAGCAAACATTAATACTTTTAAAAACTGAAAGAAATTACTATAATTTAACTTTGGTGGATGAGAAAATGTATAATTTTAGGTGTATATATATATATATATATATATATATATTAAACAATAATAATATTAGACTTGGTATTGCAAAGTATAAGTTTCAATAGATATTATTGTTTCCTTTACTTCTGTTACTAATCTTGAGCTAAGAGATGATAAAAAGGTTTTTAATTTGCTGCAGGCATGGAGATTATGGGAGGAAGGCAGGCCTGTTGAACTTGCTGATAATTTCATTAGGAGTGTCCTGCAATCTATCAGAAGTGAGACGATGCATCCACATTGGTTGTGCAACAGTATACTGAGGACCGACCAACTATGTCATCTGTGTTTCAGCCCAAAGAACATGGGTTCTTTGTTTCTCAACTGTCCGCCTGAAGCAGATTCTTCATCTAGCAAGCCTGGATCATTCTTGATGAATGAAACTACCACATCAATTTTAGAGCTTCGTTAGGGAGTTGAATCCTCATATCTCTTATGCTACAAACTCTCTTTATATGCTGTTCATGAGAGTATGCTTTGTGTTATGTTTTAATAATCAGAGATTGCATTCCCAGTTGACCCTTTGGATTTGTGCTTTTAAAGGAAATGCCTACTGGTCAGAAGTGGTTGATGAATTGGAAATTATTTAATACAAGTAAGTCAGTGAAGTTATGTTTGTCCAATGAAGAGAATGATTACAGGAATAAGCTTGATACAACTAAGAAATAGCAATGGCAATAATTTGTTTGCTGCGGCACTTTGTGTACAGTTCGTTGATCAAGAGTCATTCAATCACATCATCTTAAAGAAAGGACGCATGATCAACTCACCTGGTATTTGTATTTTACACGTCAACCAAACCAAAAATCTCAAAAAGAAATCATTGATGATGTTAACCATAATTCTGATAAAACTCCTTTCAGGCCAACAACGTAAAATAAGAAAAGAACAGAGAAGAAACACTGGTAAAAATTCCACTTCTTGATCGATTGCGTACCCAAGCGATCAGACCAAAACAAAGGCTTAACTTAACCCAGTTCTTGATGGGCAGTGTCTTTGGGTTTGGTGCATATTGTTGCTGGAGATAATATGTGGGAAGAAGAATAGAGGGTTTTATCAACCATTCGAGAGTGTTAAACCTTGTTGGGCATGTAAGTGTTATGAAATGTATTATCATTTAACTAATCAAGTTTCAAATTGATAAATGACAAAATGGTTTTGATACGCTTCAGGAATGGAGATTGTGGAAAGAATTGAACACAATTTGAACTGGCAGCGGCATCCTGAGACAGGGCAAGCATGTCATCTATCATCTGTAGTTATGATGTTAGCCAAATCAACCTGCTTTTCTATTTGACAAGGACTACTTTGAAGATCTTCAACCAATGAAATGATTGTCACACTTTTGGAGACTCTAAGTGTTTATTTCACTATTTGGCTAAAAAATATAAATACATATATATATATCACACTGCATCAATATCTTTACCAAATGATTTTCATCGTCATCTTGTACGTTTTATTTTTTTGAATTTTGTGAATTAGTCATATTTAAGACCTCAGAAATCCTAATTCCAAATTTCTCAAGTTTAATCATCTGACGTGGCTCATTCATTGGAAAATCAATCAAGGAACTAACAATCTGATTAACTCAGCGGAGAACTGCTGACTGAAGCATGATGCTAAAGCTCCATCAAAAAACAGGGCATTTGAAGTATTTTTTTTTTAAATAGGAAACTATTTTTTATAAATTTCTTTTGAAGAATGATTCATAACCTATTTCATTATGTACATGGTCAAATCTTTCCATGGCAGAAACAAGAAAAGATTTCAAGACTAGGGCACATAATTTTCTCTTTTTAAATTATTAATTCACATTAATTTCAAAAGTTTATAACAGGATACTTAGAAGGGGAATCTGTCATATAGAATAATATAATCCAATTACTGCTTGTATGCCTTCCTATTTCTCTAACTATTTCATCCCTTATTCCTTCCCTCGATATGAACCTAACGTTTCTTTTGACAAAGAAATTTGGTTGTCGAAGTTTACCTTGGATTCTTATCGGGTGCTTTTCTTTCTTCCCAAACAACTTTGGATCATTATGCTTTTCTCTTCATCTTTTATTTGATGCATATTTTGGTTATTTTAAAGCAGCCTTTAAGAGAAGCGACCCCAACACAAATGTTCATGACTTGCCCCCTTTAAAAAATTCGTTTGCTTCATAATTCATTCTCACCTCATTATATATTGGGTTTGGCAAGGACGTCTGCTTATTGTTATTTTCTCTCCTCATATATCAACTGGATCATTACTTCAATTGACCAGGAAAAGTATCTACGCTTATGATTTTTCATCTTTGCTGACATCTTTCCACATGTTGCCACATTTCAATAGTTCATGTGCTTCATTATTCATTTTCTTCTCATCATAGAGGATAATTTGGAAGAAGATCTGCTTGTTGCTGATTTCTTGACGAATTTTTGCAAGGAATTCTTATTCTCCTGCTTTCACAAAACAGAGTCACTCTAAGGATAGGAGTACCACCTCATCTTCTTCACTTGACCAGGTAATTAAATTGTTTAATATAGATTTGGGTTCATATTTTTTGGAATCATAGATTCATAACTTAGATTCATCATCTTTCCTTCCACATAATTATTTTTGTTCTTTGTTTTGTGTCATACTTGTATTTTCTTAATTAGGCAAAAAATATATATAATTAATGAGTGAAAACTAAATACAAATAATTTTGAAGACTTTAACACATAAGATTTTCACCTTTATTAACACTACTAATTTTCATTATTAATTTCATGGCAGTTTGTTTCTTCTGCATAAGAAGTTCGTGCTTGACAAAGAGCCAGGGAGGTTTGTGGATCATTTTAATTGACCTTTGAGTTTCATCTTTCCTAATAATTTGAAGAAGAAACCATGTATTTTTTAATGCCATTCCACTCTCTAATTTATTCCCACAATTATATCTTAAATGTCTTTTTGGGATATTTTGTTGTCCTCACAAGCTTTCTTGTTTTAATTATCTTATCAAAAAAATATATCAAAGTTTTTGTTTTCGCAAGCTTACTTACTTTATGTTTAGATTATATTAATCCAAAATTTAAAATTATTAGGACGGTTCAAAAAAATTAATTAATATTTTCTGGGGTCATTGATGTTTATTTTTATTGAAAATTGGATTCTCTTTTTTTTTTTCTCTCTCTCTCTCCCTCTCCAAGTAATGCTGTAATTAATATTCAATAATTCATGATTGTTATCTACAAGGGAAGAGAATAAATAAATCATTTATTTTGTTATTTATGGTTTATATTTACTCCGCTTTGCTTGAAAGTGAAATATTAAGGAAACTTTGAAGGCAAGAACAAAAAAGCAGGTAAAAAAATAAAACATTTGGTAATGTCTTTTAATGAAGTAATTAAGATAAGCTTTCTTTTCAAGATACTATTTTCAATAAAACAAAAGAATGAAACTAATTATAATCTTTGATCTTTACTCTTCAAACTAGCTTTTGAAAAACTCCAAGTCTTCAAACTAATTATAATCAAATGATTGGGCTAAAGCCAAGTTCTGTTGCCTTTAATGTCATATATGTACCATTAAAATATTTACAGGCATAATAATATTTTGATTCATTGTTTTTATGGAGTAGGCATGTTCAGTTTCTCTCAATCAAATACATTTATTCTTATCTGCACGGAAGATCTTGGCTTTAGCCCAATCATTTGATTGATTTCCTGCCGAACTCTATCATCTGAGATATATGATCTGTACACACTGCAAGCAAGATTTAAAAATGGCTGTTCACAGTTTATGTGCTAGGAAAGTGAAGTTTTCTGACATTGATAGCTGATTCAATTAACCTTGGGTTATAATGACCTCATTAAATTTACATCTCATCATAAGCACGAGTTTCAGAATTGCAGCAACTTGTCATGTTGGACTTATTTGGTGTAAGAATGACAGATTCAAGCTAACTTCTTAACTAGCTTGTAATTTATTTGTTCAAGGGCCTAATCAAAATCAACCAATCATAGTATAGTTGATGGGGAAAAAAAAAAGAGAAAGGATTCTCAAATTTTCATCCTAAAAAAATTTTCTATGTTCCTTGGCCCTTCTCACGTCTAAGAGCTCTCCTACCCACATGACAGTGAGGTACTGCATTAACTATAAGGCAGCTTTTCTGCTATCCATAACTGCTTGCCATTAATGTTAAGGGCCAGGTAGAGCAGAAGACAGGTAATGGTATTTCCATGGAAGACTTGCATACTAGTCAATGGTTATCAGTTTAAACATGTTTTCCCTCTAAAATCTGCCAAACTGAAAAGTTTTTCTATGGATTTTCCAATCTCTGAAAGTTGAATGCAATGGACATTCTGTCTCTAGATATTTTGAAGCTTGACCTTAAGACATAAAATTAGAAAAGATTTTGCTGCCCTTGTGAAAGAAAGTTGTGACTTGTGAGGACAATAATGAAGGAGAGTAGGATAAGTGGCACCATAATTCAGTTCTACTTTGCCAGTTTTTCTTCCATTCACATTTGCATTATTGTGAAACAGCTCCTAGGAAAGTGACTTCACAACTTGTGCGAGGCCTTTCAATTGACTTGCCCACTTTTAATTCTTACTTGCTTCATAATTCAGTAATTTACCTATCACGGAAGATTAAGATTAGGATTTTCTTTTAATTTGGCAAGGAGATCATCTGCTTGTTGCTGTTTATATTTCTTCAACATGCTTGTTTCCAAAAATTAATAAAGACCTTTCGGGAATAGAAATATCAATTAATTCACTGCCTCCCTGAACCAGGTAAACTGTCTATGCTTATTATTTGTTTTCATCTTTGATAACGTTAATTAAACAGAATCTTACCTTATAACACAAACCCATCTTAACATAAGTTCCATACAAATATTCATCTTGCCCACTTTTCAATAGTTCATGTTCTTCATAATTCATTTTCTTCTCATAAAGGATAATTTTGAAGATCTTGATTTCTTGACAGATTTTGCAAGGATAATTTCTCATAAAGGATAATTTTGCATTGACTTAGTTGCTTCATATTTAATTCTCAATTTGCAAGGGGATCTGCTTAGTGATATCAACAAGCTGAAGTATCTACGCTTATATTTTTCATCTTTGGTAGCATCTCTGAATCTTACCTTCTGGAATAAATTCATCTTCCAACAAACTCCATAAAAATTTTTTTTTGGTTCTTTCTGTTTAATTTATGCTTCTATTCTTTTTCCCTTTTTGTCTAATTAGGTTGAAAATAATTCAACTTTGCATTGAGTTGCAGATTTTAATTTTTTTTTAATTGAGAAAAGAATGATTTGAATCTTACTTTTTGTAAAGAAAATCTATATATCAACTAATGAATCAATTGCTTGAGTGCTGCCGACTTTAATTCTTTTTTCTTCATAATTCATTGATCCTCTTTCTCATACGATTAGGATTTTCGTTTTTGCACGGAGATAATCTATTTATTGCCGCTATTTTTCTTGACTGCACTTGTTTGTCAAATTTATTAAGGGCCTTCTCAAGATAGAAGTATCACTTCACTGCCTCACTGAATTAAGTTGTCCACATTTATGATTTAGTTTTTTCTTTCATAACATTAATTAATCATAATCTTAAATTATAATATAAATTCATCTTCTCATAAGTTCCATATATATTAAGACACAAGTTGGGTATTTATTTTAGTTTCTTACATAAATATTAATCTTGCCCACTTTTCAATAACTCATGTGCTTCATTATTCATTTTCTTCTCATAGAGGATAATTTGGATGAAGATCTGCTTGTTGCTATTTTCTTGACAATTTTTTGCAAGGAGATCTACTTCTGCAAACTTAATCAAGAATCTCTAAGGATAGAAGAAGTACCAGCTTATCTGCCTCATTTGACCAGGTAAATTAATTAAATTGTTTAATATAGATTTGGGCTCATGTTTTAGATTCATAACATAGATTCATCATCTTTCCTTCCACATAATTATTTTTGTTCATTGATCTTTGTCATGCTTCTTTTCTCTTAATTAGGGGAAAATAATTATAGTAAGTGAAAACTGAAAGTGAATGATTTTGAAAATTTTAGCACATAAAATTTTCATTTTTATTTAAAATAATATTCCTTGTTAATTTTATGTCTATTTGTTTCTTCTGCCTTAGAAGTTTGTGCTGAACAAAGAGCCAGGGGGGTTTGTGGATCATTTTGATTGACCTTCGGCTTCATCTTTCCAAATAATTTGACGAAGAAACCAGGTATTTTGAATGTCATTCTCTGTTTATTCTTGCAAGTATTTTTCAAATGTCTTTTTTGAGATATATTGTTGTTTTCACAAGCTTTCTTGTTCTAATTATCAAAAAGATATACTATTCCTTACTTATGGTTAGATTACACTATTCAAAATTATTAATATTTGCTTGGTTCTTTGATGTTGTTTATTATTATTATTATTATTATTATTATTTTAGGTGATGTTATTGAAAACTAGATTTAGCCCCGTGTAATGCATGGGTAATGATTTTATTTACAATATATATTTTTTAATTTAGAATATTGATAACAACATAAAATATATGATTTTAATGAAAATTTTCCCGTGCAATGAATAACGTCTTAAAGATCTTGATAATTAGAAGAATAAATGATTTTAATGAAAATTTACAAACATGAATAAAGTAAAACAATTTACTAAAAAAATAAAGAAATTGAATAATTCATCAAGGAGCCTCAATTGAAAATCTTTAGGAATATTCAAAATGCATAATATTTACTTTGGTCATTGATGTTTAATAACTTATTATTATTTCTGGCCTAGATGATGCTTATTATTATTCAAAACTATATTTATTCAGCTCAATACAAGGGTGATGATTTTATTTACAATAATTCTTTTAATTTAGAATCTAAATAAGAACATAAAAAACTTGCCAAAAAAATTTTGGAAGTATGCATGTTAATGAATAATGTCTTAAAGATCTTGATAGTTGGAAGAGTAAATGATTTTGATGAAAATTTACAAATATGAACATAGTAAAACAATTTACTAAAAAAAATAAAGAAATTGAATTATTCTACAAGAACGGAAAAATACATAATTACCAAATAATAATAAATCAAAGAGGTCAAAATACATATAAGGATCGAATTGAAAAATTCAAAGAGGCATACAAAAGGAAGAAATCAAACTTTTGATGATGAAATTGAGACTAGGGAACCATAGAAACTAAATATAAGTAGACAAAATATATGGGGAAAAAAGGATTAAAATAACCTTAGCAACTATAGTCTCTAACAAAAACGTACCAACATCTCAAATTTGTAAGGTAAAGTAATAAGTAATTATATAGTAATAAGTAATTATATAAGGTAAATTTCGAATGTAAATTGTTGACTAACTGTTAAATTAATAATAAGTACTGAAAAATCAAATTAGGAGTAATTGTTAAGAAAAATTAATTGAAATAATAGACAATAAAAGGTTTGTGAAACAATTAGAGAAGAATGCAATGGAATCAATGCAAATTTTAATAGTATAAAGTTTTTCTTTTGTTTGAGTTATGCTACCAAATATATGCTTTTGCGTGAAAATATCCATTTTTAACATTAAGTGGTAATTTCTATATTCATTTAGGCTAACAATTAGAAATTCTTACCTAATCTAATTTAAATTTGTTTTAAATGTGTAAAATGAATAAATGAAAATAATCAAATTTACTAAATTTAGTCTTTGAATATCAAAATTAAAACTTTACATTGATACCTGACATTTATTTAATATGAATATCTTATACGAGATGTTTGTGAAATTCTCTTTGTTTTTATTTTTCCCATCAAAAGAAAAAATGGCTGTTAAGTTTAAATAGATTATTTGTACTAGCCTTGATTTATTTTATAATAAACCTCCAATATAAGGAAATATTTTAGTTCTAGTATAAAAACAACAGTTTATGGATAATTTGAAGAAGAAATTACGCACTTTTAATGTCATTCTACATTCTCAATTTATTTTTGTAATTATTTTTTTAAGATATTTTAAGGCTTAATGATGTGGTATAATGACATAATCATATCTCATTTTTTTACTTTGTAAAGTGTTACATCAACATCACGTGAGTATAAAATGACAAGAGATATTTTGATTAATAACAATTAATCAACTGTTAGTTATAAAAGCTTATTTGATCTAAATTAAATAAAAATATAAAGGCATGATTGAATATAATAAAAGAATAAAAATTTATTTCAATTTTCTTTTATAATTCAAGAGTTTTTTAGCATTATACCTATATTTTGTTTGCGCCAAAATATTCATTTCAACATTACATGGTAATTTCTATATTCATTAAGGTTAACATTTAGATATTCTTATGTATTCTAACTTAAATTTTTATTAAATGTGCAAAATGCATAATTAATTTAGTAATTTAGTCTTTCAATATCAAAATTAAAATTTTGCATTGATAAATAGATAAATAACATTTATTTAATATGTATATGTGCTAGAAAAGTGAGTTATCAACTTTAAATCATTTCCTTCTTTTATAAAAAATTTTTTCATTTATATATTTATAGTAGATTGATTTCTCCATTCTCACCATCCTTTTATTAATGTTGTGATAATCAAAACTGAAAACCATACAGATATGATAATATTCAAGAATTTGCGACGGTTCATTAAGGGGCAAAATGAAATATTATACTCAAAGATGATGAAAACAAAAACTTTTTGTTTCTTCTAATGTTTTCAAAAATATTATGTTTTTTCTTAAGAAGAATTGGTAAAACTCTTTTATTTAGTAACATTTTTTTCCAATATATTCTATATTGTATGAAAAATATAGAATTTTAGTATAGGGAGGGAGTAGCTTATGTCATATGGAGATCTAATATATCTTGGTTTATTAAACTACAGGGAATAGCTTATATGGAGGTTATAGGGCCAATTTTTGAAGTGATAAAGTGCTTTGGTGGTCCAACCTGTACATACATAGATCATCACCGGAAACTTGAAGAACGTATGAACAATCTTCGAAGAAAAGTGAATGATCTAAGTGATCGAAAGGAAGACCTCGTATTAAAAAAGGAAGCGGAGCTTCGTCATGGAAAAGTGGTGAAGAAAGAAGTGGAGTACTGGTTAGAAGCTGTAGAAAAGGTAAACACTGACATGGAAAAGATTGAAATGAAGTTCCATGCTGTTTCATACTTCTTACGCGGTCATCTTGGAAAATTTGTTTGCCGAATGATTGAAAAGGTAGAGGAAATTCACCAAAAAGGTAGTTTCCCTGACGGTGTGGCAATTGATGGGCCTCCAGCCACAGGGGTGATGTTACCAACACCAAATCTAGAAGGTGAAATCGATGTAAAAGAGCAAATTTGGGAGTGTTTGATGGGTGACGAGGTTGGAATGATTGGAGTATGTGGAATGGGTGGTATAGGGAAAACTACCATCATGAAGCACATCAACAATCGATTGTTAAAGGAAAGTGAGAAGTTTGATAAAGTGATATGGGTCACTGTATCAAAAGAATTGAATATTTTTAGATTGCAAAAAGATATTGCAGATTCTTTGAAACGCTCTCTTCCAGAAAATGATGAATTGCAACGAGCATCAGCATTAAAAGATATTTTAGAAGGAACAAGATATGTGTTGATCTTAGACGATGTTTGGAAACGGTTTTCTCTATTGGAGGTGGGAATCCCTGAACCAACATTAGGTATGGGGAGGAAAGTTGTACTCACTAGCAGATCAATTGAGGTATGTCAATCTATGGATTGTAAGGTGATCAAAGTGCAACCGCTTTCAAAGGCAGAGTCCATGAACTTATTCTTAGATCATGTGGGGCATAATGTTGTACAAGATCAAAATTTAAAAGACATTGTCAACAAAATTGCTGAGCAATGTGGCGGTTTACCACTTAGCATTGTCACAATAGCCGGCACTATGAAAGGGGTAAATGATTTTTGTGAGTGGAGAAATGCATTAACTGAGTTAGAAGAGCGTGTGAAAAGTGTGAGAGGATCGGATGTTGAAATATTTGAGCGTTTGAGGTTCAGTTATGACCATTTGAAAAATCCAAAAATCCAAAGTTGTTTCTTATATTGCTCCTTGTATCCTGAAGATTTTGTGATTGAAAAAATTGCATTAATTGAAAATTGGATAGATGAAGGACTCCTTGATGGCTTAAGGACTAGACAAGAAATGCATGACAGAGGCCACAGCATTTTAAATAGGTTTGAAAATAATTGCTTGCTAGAGAGGGCTACAACTTGGAATGACAAAGAAGGAGTCAAGATGCATGATGTTTTGAGAGACATGGCATTGTATATTAAAGGTCATCAGTTCATGGTAAAAGCCAATGTGCGGTTGGAGGAACTACCAAGTGAGCAAGAATGGACAGCGAGTGTTGAGAAGGTTTCTTTGATGCAAAATTCAAAAGTAATAGAAATCCCTCCTCACATATCACCTGAATGTCATTATTTGTCAACTTTGATATTGCAAAAATGTGGCTTAGAAAGAATTCCAGAATCTTTCTTTAAGCACATGCCTGGGCTAAAAGTTCTAAATCTTTCTAGTAATTCTGCGATTGTGGATCTACCTAATTCCATCTCTAACTTGAAAAATCTCAATGCATTGATACTTGCTAGTTGTTGTAGGTTAACATATGTGCCTTCATTAGCAAAGCTCAGAGCACTGAGAAAGTTGGACCTTTATTGTACAAAAGTTGCGGAGTTTCCTCATGGTATAGAAATGTTACAAAACCTTAGATATTTTCGTCTAGAGTCAGAGCATCTAAAGAAGCTACCAATAGGAATATTAGTGAAGATTTCTCATCTGCAATGCTTACTAGTAGCGTTACATTTAAGGGGGGAAGAAGTAGGCAAATTGAGGAAGCTTGAGTATGTGACATGTTCATTTTGTGACATGCAAGAGTTTAAGAAATATGCAGAGTCTGCACAAGGTAAATGGCCTACATCTTTCAATTTTCAAGTCGGACCATACGTGAATTTTTATGCGGGGTTTTCCCTAGATTTAAAGGAAATTAAGAAACGGGTAGTGCTCTCAAATTTGACGATAGAGAAGTGTGATGATGGAGTGCTCCCAAATGGCCTTCATACTTTATGTATTAAATGGTGTGATGATTTCAAATGTTTTAGCAATATTTCTTTGTTTGGTAAGGCGACTGACTTGAAGATATGTCAAATTAGTGGGTGTAAAGGGATGGAGTGTGTGGTTGACTTGTCATTATCGTCTTGCAACGCACTTCACAACATTGAGGAGCTAGGCCTATTTTTCTTGCAGAACTTGTGTGAAGTTGTGAGAGTAGGAGTAGCGGTTGAAAATGAATGTACCTCTCATGCTCCAACACCACCTGCCATCTTCTCTTCTCTTAAACAATTCCATATGAGTTTTTGTTCGAGGGTGAAGAAGTTGTTTCCAGTTGAGCTGTTGCAAGGCCTCCAAAACTTAGAGACAATTACTGTTTACATATGTGAAGAAATGGAGGAAATAATAGCATCAGAAGAAAATCACAAAGGAGAAGGAACAACATTTATTCTTCCCAAATTAAAAGAATTGCAATTGTATTCCCTACCAAAATTGAAAAGCATTTGCAGTAGTGGACTTGTGATTCCTGCAGATTCTCTCCAATATCTTTATATAGTCAGATGTCCAGAAGTAAGGAGGATCCCTTTGTCTCTTCCCCTTGTTGAAAATGGGCAACCATCTCCTCCCCCTTCTCTAAAAGAAATCACAGTAGGCAGGAGAGAATGGTGGGAATTGGTGGAATGGGATCAGCCTGATGCTAAGGATGTCCTTTCTCCCTTTATTCGATATTACTGGTAGAATGAGATGGAGAAGAGGTGCTCGATTAAATGAGGGTGCAAGGCTCTTGCTTCTTATTAGAAACTGCAAACAAACATTGTGAGTTTATTTTCATCCACATCCTCTTTTTATCTCTTAATTTCTCATTTGTTAAATAATTACTCTTTTTTAATATCAAAATAAAAACCATGTCCCTGATTTTTTTTTAATATAAAAATAAAATCTCCAACTCAACATCCTTCAATCTCCGCCAATTGCTGTCTGACACGTTCTACATCCCCTCCTGTTACACCTTCCTACCCCTTTCCTTTACTGTCATTTTCACTCGCATGTTTCAAACTTGGTTTTAATTTTTTTCAAATTTTTAAAACGGAAAAAAAAACACACATACCACACCACAAAATTAGAATATTATTATGAATTAAATGTTAACAAAATGACTAAAAGGTTTTCAATTTGCTTCAGGCATGGAGATTGTGGGAGGAAGGAAGACACCCTTGTTGAACTTGGTGATCAATTCTTAGGACTATCCTACGCATCCACACTTGTCTCGAATGGTTGATGAATTGGAAATCATTTAATACAAGTAAGTCATTGAACTTATGTTTGTCCACTGAAGAGAATGATTAGAGGAATAAGCTTCATATTATTGAGAAATACAAATTGTCTGGAACCTCAATGTTTATAATTTGTTTTCTGCTGCACTTTGTGTATACTTCATTCATTAAAAGTCAGTCAACCACATCACCTTATAAAAACAACGCGTGATCTACCCACATGGCATTTCTATTTTATATGTCAACCATCCAAAGTGTCTCAAGTAAAAATCATTGATCACAGGACTACACATGAAATGCAGAAAGCAAGCTTGGATGCTTTTCTCATTTGCTCCAAGAGACTACTTTGACAGATATGGACTTTGTGGTTCAAAAGGGAATTGCGATGGTACTCAGCTTCCACCTTTTAAAGGATTCAAGCCTTAATTCCCTGAAAATTGATGTTTAAGCCCGAATTCCCCGAAAGATACAACTCATCAGACTGGTCCCAAGGGAGTAAGCACACTAAGCCATTGAACTGCCAAAGCAAAGATGGATTTATCAGATTTAAAAAATTTGAAAATGTCAGATGCTACACATTCTTGGCTGACTAGAAGTATGAATCTCAAGGCATGCAGGGCTATGTGTATACAGAACTATTCCTATGTGGCATACACTAGTTCAGATAACAGAGGAAGAGGTAGTGGTTGAGCCCTTTGGTTTAATCATCTGACTGATTACAGACAATTTCAATCGGACGGGCAGGATCTATATATTAGAGTGTCTGCTTCAGAATCAGGTATGAGTCTACATTTTCTCTTGTTTTCGCTGCTTTTTTCTTTTTTGTTCATGTATGCTTTTCTTTATCAAATTTCGTCGTACTGGATTGAAAGATAAGCCTAGAATAAAATTTCCTGCTTTAATTTCAACACCACCGTGTCCTGCTTTTGGGGCTGTTTACTGTCAGTCATTACCTTTACAGAGGTCGTGCAAAGTTGAACGGTAACTTTGATATATCCTTCACAAATATGCTTATTTTGTTCCTTTGCTAAATAAACAAAAAAAAATTACTTTGTTAATAGTGATGCTAGCAAATCCACACTCGGTTTCTTCAAAAGAGTTAATTATATTCTTTGTCATTTCATTTGAATTTTTATTTTTTTTTATTCATACAGATCTCAAAGCTAGTAAGGTTCTGCTTGATAGTGAGATGAATCCAAAAATTTCAGATTTTGGACTGGCTAGAACTTTTGGAGGAGACCAGACTGAAGGGAATACTAAAAGAGTGGTTGGAACTTAGTGTCACCTTATTTTCATAATGTCTACATATCCTCATATATTTATTGCTTTGATGATGTTCTGCAGTGGTTATATGGCACTGAATATGCTATTGATGGACTGCTTTCAGTAAAGTCAGATCTCTTTAGCTTTGGTATATTATTGCTGGCGATAATAAGTGGGAAGAAAAAATAGAGGGCTTTACCATACAACACCAAGCGGCAGCCTTGTTGAACATGTCAGTTTCAGCAGATATTTTTATAATCAATTTTTTGTTGCTTATCTTGGATTGATAAAACCTAAAAGGGTTTCAATTTGCTGCAGGCATGGAGATTGTGGAAATAAGGCAGTCCTTTAAAACTTGTTGAAGAATACATAGGAGAGTCTTTGCAATCTATCAGAAGTGATACAATTCTTCCATTATCAGTCTTTTAAGTTTACAACAGCGTCCTGAGGATAGGCCAAGTATGTCATTTGTGATTCTGATGTTGGGAAGTGAAACTGAATTACCACACCCCAAACAACCTGGTATTTTGTTTAAGAAAAGTCCACTTGAAGAAGATTCTTCATCAGACAAGCATGTATCTTCTTCCACAAATGAAATAACTCTGTCAGTACTAGATGCTCGATAATTGATAAACTGTATACTTGGCTCTTTCATCTGCAAGCCATTATTATAGGCTATCGATCAGTTTGTTTGCGTCCCTTATGCTTTGATACTAGTGGTTTAGTCCCAGTATGAGCTTAACGCCCTGCAAGTGCCTACTTGGGGGTAATATATATAAAGAGATATATATATGATTCACAGAGGCAATACAAGATGACTACACTGAAGCTCCATAAAAATCAGAAATAAGAATTCTCTGCAAACTGAAAAGTTTGGTCTTTTCAAGGAAGACTTGCATACTAGTCAACGATCATCAGTTTAAATATGTTTGCTCTCTAATATCTGCCAAACTGAAAAGTTTTTCTATGAGTCTTACAAGCTCTGAAAGTTGAAACAAATAGACATTCTGTCTTTCATGTTCATCAACACTGTTCTACTGATGGAATCGATATCTTCACCTCCTCCCAGTCTGTTAGTGATGGATGAAATCCTTGAGCTTGGTTTCTTTAGTCCTGGAAGCTCTAATAATCGTTGCTTGGGAATTTGGTACAAGAAAGCAGCAGTTAAAACTGTTACTTGGGAACTAGTAATTGCCCAACTGAACACCCTTCAAATTTTATACGCTTTTATTAAAAGCAATAAGAAGGCTGGATTTTCTCATCAGTGTCAGGTTTTGCAATTCATGTTTGAAGATGGAGCTATATTTGAGCTTGATCCATCAGCTTCTATTTACCAAGAGACAGAGCCTGGAAGCAAATATTATTGACAACACTCTGCAACAAAATCATCCGTGGGAACATGACCTTGTTGCCAACAAAGTTGGGCTTTGCTCCTTCCACTTGCACATAATTGATTTTGGGGACCTTTCCACTTCCCCTTTCTATTTAGTCTCTTTCATTTTTTTTTCTTTATTTGTATTGTAATTTATACAAATACCCAATATTTTGCCCTACTTCAGTCTCAAATTTGTTGCAAGTCACATAAGAAATATGGCTCTGGTATTAGCTTACTTTCTGTATGTACCAAAGCTGTGTCAATTGAACAAACTCATTTCTCTCCTAGGTGAAAGGGACTGGGAACCTCCAATGTCACTTCCATTGTTTAATCACTACCCATAAATCTCATCCAAATTAAAAATCCTATCCAATTGAATCTAGTCAACAAGTGTTAGAATATACCAAAATAAATGTCACATCAATGGTGCTTGTCCCAAGTTGGCAACTAATCTATTAAATTAGCATTTTCTTTTCTTTAAAATAATGGGTTTGAATGGGCATTTACCGTGTTTGAGGAGGGCTACCTTCTTTCATATACAAAAGCTAATTCAACAGATCCAAAGGAATTAATGTTGCCACTCATCTCTGGACTAAAAAACCTGAAAACTAAATGCTATTCAACCTCCAAAGTTTCACCTCTTGGACTGGCAATAATGATATCAAGCTGGCTACAATCTCCTAATTAAACAGTGTCTATATATGAAAAAAAAATGAAAGCATATATGGGAAGTGATGTGTCAATACCATGATATTGAAAATAAACATGATAAATATTTAAAGCACTTCAAATGATGAATACATATATAATTAAACAAGGTTAATAGTTTAATTTATCTATATAAGATTTGGTGATTTGATGTTGCATGCAAATTATGAGTAAGTTTAAGTTGATATGTTTAGTGTGATTACTCTAAATATAGAGTAAATTGTGAGAAATAACTTTCCTCATATGTCCAATTCAAAAATATCTTTTTTTATAATTTTAACTATTTTTAACTAATTTTTTACATGACTTGACAACAATACCCTTTAAATAATTTCAAACAATTAAAATGGTTTCAGTTTTCTCTATCTCGCCATTCAGATAAAAATTTCAAAATTAAATCTCGATTTCTTTCCCTGGTCAAATACTGTCTATCTCGCTATCCAAAAAGTAAAGATGACATCAAGCTCTTTCTTATTTTATTTTATTTTTATGGTGGATCTTGGAGCTTTCAAAGGTAATAAACAACGATTTTGCTCTTATATGATGATTGCAGGTAGTATGATGAATGTGGTAACTGGATGCTTTCTGGTGATGTTTTCAATGACTTAGGGAGAAGGGACAGCTAAAACATGCTTGATGGGTTTTATCGTGGTTCACGATTTTGTTATGTATAGGATTGGGATGATTGTTAAGTATATTTATTGGAGATTGAGTTAAAATTATTCAGAAAATATTTTGTAAAAGGAGTATATTTTGTTTTTGTATAAGAGAAGTGAGCAAAACCTTCCTGATAGAGATATATTTTGTCTTGATTTGAAAGATTATGGAGTTTGTAACCTATCTTTTATGAAATGCACAATTTCATGGCTTAACAAAAAAAAAGATGTGTTTTAGGTTCTTGAGTTTATTCGTTTATTCATAAAACCATAGAACCTCAAAGTTGAGGAGTTAAAATTGATTAAACTGAATTTTAACTAGTGCGAGATTGATTTTTAAGTATTACGTGATTAGTTATAAGTATTGCGTGATTGCTTTTTAGGCATTGCGTGATTGCTTTTTAAACATTGCGTGATTGCTTTTTAAACATTGCGTGATTGCTTTTTAAGTATTGCGTGATTAATTTTTAACTAATACCTAAATTACACAATGTCGTACTGACTAATCACGCAATAGCTTACTAACAAGTAACGCAATACCTAAAAATAAGTTACGCAATATTCAAAGTCAGTCACTCAATATACAAAGTAAATCACGCAATACTTAAAAATTAGTCACATAATGCTCAAAAACCATCAAAATTATTAAATTTCATTTAACAAGATCAACAACTTTAAATGATACACCATATTTCATTTTACAACATAATTAACGAATTTGCCTACTTGACAAAAAATGTTCAAAATGTTCAAAAGTTTTGTTCATATATCAAAAATCATTCCAAAATGCTTAAAAATGCTCAAAGGCTTTCTTCGTATATCAAAAGCTACTCTAAAATGCTTTAACGTTTTTCTTTCTTGTAAGAAATACTCCAAAGATAAATAGTATGATAAAGAAAGCTCAAAGAATATGGGATAATTTGAAGTGCAGATCTAAATATACTTGATCTGTTAATAAATTTCGAGTTGAAACGCGAAGTTAAATAAATGAGTCGGTTTCATTAAGAATAATTTTATCTAAATTTTAATTTTTTTGACTAAAAACAGTTAAAATTATAAAGATGTCTATTATCAAAAATCTCTTATGCATGGAACCTATTTAAAAAATAACTCCTAAATACATATGTTATGTTTAAATGGTGATAATAACATTTTTATCTTATTCATGAAAATCATGAATCTACGTGCCTATGACCCTAATAAAATATAATAATAATAAAGATAATGTAATAGAGCAATGTATTTGTAAATGATATTTAATGTGAAATTGGGATTTCATTTAGGGTTGTCCACATGACATATGCGGACACATTTTAGCTTTCCAACCCCTGCATGTTTAGCTCTTATCTCAACCTGAATCCAAGCCTCCAAGTCAACAGCTACCGGCCTTTCCACGTGTCAACCCAACCCAAATCAAAGCCTGGGTATCGTCCACGTGTCAAGCACACAACATTCACAGAACCATAGTCATATTTATGCCTTTAAAACAACTACCGCCCCAAGAACTTCGCTATATGTGAGAGCTTTTACGTTTTCAAAAAAGATACACCAGAGGACCCCTGTATGGCTACCTCGCCAGGATCAGATCCCAGTAGCCATGGCTCCTCGCTAGAGTCACCCTTACTCCCTCCATCCAAAGAACCCGGATGGGAACCTGAACCCGGATCCGAACCCGAGAAGCTCTGCATAGACGACATGTTACAAAAGTACTGCGGAGAATTTGGTCCTGGCAATTGAGACACTTTGTTTTAACGAGCCTAGCATGGGCCCTGGAAGCTTTCCACACCATGGTGATGATATTCGCAGACCAGGAACCGGCTTGGCGGTGTTTAAAAGGGGCAGCCGTTCGGGGTGTGATGAGAAGGAGAGCAGTGTTTGTGGGCTTGAACCGGGGTCTTGGGAATGGAAGGGTGGTTCGGGAAGCTCCACGGTGGCTCAGTGGGGATTGGTTTGTGGTGAGAAGTATAAGGTTGGGCTTGTTCAGGCCTTGTTTTTTGGCGGCTGCATGATTGGTGAGTTGTTTCAGCTGATCTTTCTCTTTGGTCCCATTTTTTTTTTAAAAAAAAAAAGTATGGATATGCTTTTATTAAGCAACAGGGAGTAAATGGTCCTTATCTTGTTATCTGTCGGATAATGGTTCGTATTTCTCTGTTCTTTAACTATATTTTCAAGCTATCAGGTTTGATGTTTTGTTTTTCTTAAAGGGAATATACCAGGTTTCTACCGTCATGTAAACCACATCTGGTGCAGTTAATGCCTTTGTGGACCTGAAATTTCAGGAAAACACATTAAGCTCAGAAGTAACAAAGCTGAAAACAAGTTGGGTACTTACTTAAATTTGTAGACATTGGTCACTTGAATTTAGCTCCATTTTTTATTTTGGGAGTGGGAGTCTAGATTAAGATTTGCTAGTGAATGATGACAAGAACGAGAGACTTGTTTTTTTTTCTCTCTCTGCAAGAATAGTAATTTGTGATCAGTTGGTGCATATTACGAGCCAAGAAATATGTCAGCAAGACGCCGCGATAACATTTATTTAAGTATAGGAGAATACACACTTAGCAGGCAAAGATAGTGATAGCTTTTTCTTATGATTGAGATTGCTATTTACCGTTTGAAGTTTCTCTTGTCATGGTCACGTGTCTTGGGCAGATGTGAGACATAGGAAATTGTAAAAAAATTGAAGTGTCATACTGAGTGGTCCAAGAAATGGTTTAATCTGCTGCAAAATGCAGACAGCAGCCGTATTGAACCAGCTCAGCTAATATTGGACAAGGATTTTAGTAGAAATTTGCTCAAATTAGCTCTGGGGTTTAGGCATCTAAGCTCTACCTAGCACCAAACACGTTGCTAGTTGTCTATATGGATTTGCTTTAATTTGGCCTTCCACCTAAAGTTGGACCATGAGAGTTACTGTGCTACATGTTTTTCCTTTGTGGTCCAAAATTATTATCAGTTCCTTGAAAGGTCACTTTGACTTTGTTAATTTGTTTTGTGTTTTATTGAATTTTTTTCCCTTCCTATACCGTCTGCGGTGCTTTTGATTTCTTTTCTAACATCATCTTAAAGTGGACTCTCAACACCTCAGACCGTTGAAATTCTGAACTTCATAATGATTGTGGTCCTGAAACAATTTCTTTCATAGCTAGGGACACGAGAGAAGTCTGCAGCCATTAAATTATTATAAAGAGAGAGGAAAATCATCCAATTCTCTCGTGGGGGCACTAGGAAAAGTGATAGAAGCATGATACAAAAGAGAGAAAAACCCGTATGCTTTTTCCAGAAAGATGCATGCAGAATGCTTAGCAGAATTTTTCAGTTTCTTCTCTTTGTGTTTTCCTGCAACGTTAATTAAACCCTTAATTGATCTTTTCCTTTCACTTCTTCTCAATGTGTGAAATCAAGCAATCTAAGCAACAGTCCTTTTCACACTTTGGGCATTTGATGATTGACTTTTTACATGATTTATTTGAAAGCTACAGTGGAGCATGAGAATCATGTTCTCGATTTTCTTTTTATGCTTTTTTTTTTTTGGGGCCCAGTGTTCTTGATGTTGATAATTTAATGTCATCTTCACTCTGTTCATACTCCATTACCGCATGCTCTACTTTCTCAAACTTGCTTGATCGTTTAAGAGTTCGTGTCTTATAACCTTTGTATCTTTCCCTTTGTTTAAAAAAAGAACAATTCCTTATCTCTTTATGCTGCTTTTCTGTTGTTCCTTTTCTCTTGGTCCCTACATCATCTGCTCTTTAATGAGTAACCCAGCACTTACTAAAGCCAGCTCTCCTTTTGGCATGTTTCTGTCATAATTGTTGTACCATGGAAACCACCAACTTCACCATCTTAATTCTCTTTTGGATCAGTTCTTTGTTCAAGTACATACAAATATAGAATTATGTAATAACTAACAAAGTACATTAAAGAAAAAGGAAAACAGTTAATTTTACTTTAGTGGATAGCATATATCAAATTGTGGGGAAAGAAGGTGGAATCCTACTATTACATTGCAACATACAGAATCAGTTATCATTGATACATTAAATATGCGAGAAGCTGTTCTGTTGTAAGAAACTTTCAGATGATTAAGTTCATGAGTAAATTTTCAATTTTTCAGTACATATTTTTCAGGTGCAGGAGTATTTGGCCATCTATCAGACTCAAAACTGGGAAGAAAAGGTTCCTTAACAGCAGTTTGCATCTTAAATGCCATCTTTGGTTGCCTTACGTCATTAGCCCCAGACTACTTCACATATCTCCTACTTCGGTTTCTGACAGGGTTCAGCACCGGAGGTGTTGGCCTCTGCTGCTTTGTCCTGGCCACTGAACCTGTTGGCCCAACAAAGCGCGGTGCTGCTGGAATGTCCACATTCTACTTTTTTTCAACTGGAATAGCATTACTCTCAGGCATAGCTTACATCTTCCCTTCATGGCGTGCTCTTTATATCGCCTCCTCTATCCCCTCTATTATTTTCCTTGTTCTGGTTGTTCCTTTTATCTCTGAGTCCCCACGTTGGTACCTTGTTCGTGGGAAAATGAACGAAGCGATGAAAATCATGCGCACAATAGCTAAGTCTAATGGACAATACCTTCCTGATGGGGTTATCCTTGCACTGGATGATGAATCTAATGATGCATCAAATGATAACCGGAGTTGCAAAGAAGCAATTAGTGGTTCTCTTATAGATGTAATCCGATTACCAATCACTCGTATTCGACTTTTTCTAACAGTGGGAATCAACTTCACATGCTCAGTTGTGTACTATGGCCTTAGCTTAAATGTTGTCAACCTCGAGACAAACCTTTACCTCAATGTGCTCCTCAATGCAGTAGCTGAAATGCCAGCATTCACCATAACTGCAATTATGTTGGACAAATTTGGGAGGAAGCCATTGGCAATTGGGACACAATGGTTCAGTGCAATCTTTTGCTTTACGGGGAGCCTGGTGGGAAACGTTGGAATATGGAAAGTAATAAGAATGTTTTGCGGGATTCTAGGGATATTTGGCATGGCCGGAACTTATAATCTGTTGTTCATCTACACAGCAGAGCTCTTTCCTACGGTGGTGAGGAATGCTGCCCTGGGATGTGCAACTCAGGCAGCCCAAATGGGAGCTATTTTGGCACCATTTGTTGTGGTTTGGGGCGGTGGCCTTCCGTTCCTAGTGTTTGGTGTGTGTGGATTGATTGGAGGGATGCTTGCATATTACTTACCAGAGACACTGAACAAGCCATTGTATGACACAATGACAGGAATGGAAGAGGGGGAGACTGCTTGAGGAGTTGCATGAAACGCAATTGGTGACTCTTTCAATTTTTGTCACACAGCTTCATTACAATATTGAGCACATAAACTTCACATAATGGGTTTTACTTTCATGGCATTTTGATTATTCTTTGACATCCAACAACGGCTAATCTATGCAACAGAATGAGAATGACTAAAATTGTTCAGTAAGAGAAAACAAATCATTGGTCAAAGCAGAAGCGGAACTTGAGGCCAAACCATGACTATATAGCTTAACACATTCCTTAAGACTGTTGTATGTTCCTTTTGCTTTCTGTGATTCTTATATCTGCTTGCTGGTTTGGTTTCTTCAATGGATGGTATGAAGTTCCATGAAAGCAGCTTTCTTTAGCTCCATGAATGATCTCACTAGAGAGGAATGAGAAATCAAAGACTCATTGCTTTGATGGAAAACTATTGAAAATTGATCTTTTCCTTAGTGCAGAACTGTTTGCAGTTTGAGTTTAGTTCAACAAATGTTGCCATTGTCATTTCCCTCCCTCTGCCAAAACCAAATACAAGCATGATTTTCTTCCGTTTTCTAGTAAACATTGGATATGGATAATTAAGGGTAACATATTTCAATTTTCCACTGAGAAAATTGCTCCATTTGATTACAATATTTATATTATTCTTACAAATAATTTGTACACTATGTATAAAACTAAATACATGATTAATTCATTAAATAAAAAAGATGATTAAAACATAAAAGGAGTAGGGGAGAACGTTGGAATGACCACCGGCATTGAAACAGGAGTAGGGGAGAACGTTGGAATGACCGCCAGCATCGGGTTTCGCCTGCAATATTGCACCAGAACAAGTGTTCAGTTTAACTTCAGATTTTGTAATACTCAAAACCATATATGAATTATAATTCATTCAACAGTTTCATCAAACATTTTGTAAACAAAAAACATAATATACTAAGAAGGAGAGCAGTAAGTTCTCACGCAAGTAACTGACTCCATGGCCCAATGGATAAGGCGCTGGTCTACGGAACCAGAGATTCTGGGTTCGATCCCCAGTGGAGTCGGTTTATTGGTATTTTTCGACCAAAGAGATTTATTTTATAATTTAACATGTTAATATAATTTAATATATGAACTAACCTATATAAATAAATATTAATTCGTCGCCCAAAATATCTTCCCCGACGTTGACATAGCAACTAATAACCACACCAAATCGAATTTCCTTCTATACTCATTGATTTTCTTTATATGCTATAATTCTTTACCAAAAAAATAAAAAGTAAAAAGGGCAATTCAGTTACCCTATGTCGTCGCTATTGCTTCGAACATGAACCTTGGAGCGAGACCCTGAACTGCTCTTCCTCTTCACCACACTATCCGCCGTCGTCTTCTCTTGCTGTGGCGGCGTTTTCTCTCTCTTCTCTGCCACAACGTTATCCTCCGAGATAACATTCAGCGAGGGCTTCCACTCTGCAGCCATAACCCCTGGTGTTCCTACCCTCACCCGCTTCTTCTTCGTTAGTGCCGCCACTTTTGGAGGCATCAAAGACCTCGTCTCCTCCCTCATCGAAGGACTCACCGCCGCCATCAACACCTCTTCCTTCTCGTTCCTAGACACTTCAGGGGTCGTAACGCAACACGAAACAAACTCCAAAATGGATCTCATGACGTTATATAACAAAAACAGCCACCCAAATATACACCTATATCTATATATGTATCCCTACAAGTAACAAACGGGAAAATAGCAGAGTTGAGAGGAATCAGAGAAGGAGCCATGGGTGTTTCATTGTTTCTCTATTAGCTTCCTTTCTCATACATGAAAAAGCTAAGTGCGTAGGGCTCTTATATAGTGCTGATGACTAGAAAAAAGGGTATAGCAGAAGATTGCCTTTGGTTTTGGGAAATGACAAAACAGTGGGGCTGCCTTTGTTTATGGCGTGACGGCCTGGATGCTGAGTTTGCACTCCATATACATTTATGACAAAACTACTACTCTTTATTCATTAATTTATTTTCTTAGTATTTTTAATTTGTTTTACTAATTATTATAAATAGTTTAATATGAGACAGATGAGAGATACCTATAATTATAGGTAATCAAGATGTTGATAAGGTTTTGCCAAATTAGTACAATGAGGATTAAATTGATGTACGGTTAGGAAGAAAATTTGATCCAAACTGCTTTTAGTATTATAGACGAATTAAAATTTTTCGAAAGAATATCTTAACGGTTTTAATTTGAATCTTGAAAATAAATGACGAAACTTACGAGATAAAAGAAAGATTCGTAGAATTAATTAGGGTTTATGAATTGACTATATTTTATGTATCTAAAAAATTATTATTAAAGATTTAAATGGTAACTTTAAAGTACTATCAATCGAATTTAGACATTTTAGTAAAAACTCAAACTATAGTAGTTTATATAGTTTTTTTTTTTAATTTTCATACAATCTTAGTATAGTATAGGCATATATATGATTAGTTCATACTCAAATGATTAACGACTTCCTTCCGTATTTAACCATTTGGTTCAAAGGTTGATACATATAATTCTTGGCTCAAATAATAGACAAAATTTGTTAAAAGTTTTTGCTAATGAAACCACACAAATTGTTTTACTATTAAGGCTTTCAAAGTCAATAAATTAAATAATTGTAGTGGGATCAAACTGTTTGGAATCTTCTCTATATTAAATTGCTTATATGTTTATACACAAAATCAGTCCATCTTATAAACTAATGCCATGGCTTATAAAATGAGTAATATTTATTAAAAAAAATTAACTCTTTAATGATAGTCACAGATGTGAACTCCACTACTGATCCTACACTCTCAACTTCAAGGCTGAAATATGGTCCAAAACTTCATGTTTTACAACATTATTTTGTTAGGTCATGTTTTATTATTTAAATATCTTAATATTGAACTAATTAATTACTTAATTCACCAGTAATTTAACTCATAAGACCATTGAGATTTTATTTTACTGAAAAATGCAACTGTATTTCTCTTTTTCCATCACAAATCCCATAGATATTTTGCAATTAATGTGATTATTACTGTTTTTCTTAGGAACCACTATAATTTCACTGTGAAATTAATATGAATCTAAATTGGCACAACACTTATCACAAAAAATAAATAAATAGAAAGGAATAAATAAATAAATTCTACAACAAATCTAATGTCAAAAGACTTTCATAGCCCCTCCATTTCTTTCAAGGAAATCATGTGGGACACTTTTTATTGTCAACATTATTTTATATGTGACTTCTTAATTTTTATGATTTTGTTCTTTCTTTGGGTTAAATGTGTGGGTTAGGGGTTTAGTAGTCAGTCCAATCACACATATATATAATTTCATTTAAAAAATTAAATTTCTCATATAATTTTTTTTTAAAATTGAAGGAAGGAGATTCGAACTTTACTCCTTAAATAAAAAAATCATGCACCAACTAATAAAGTAAATGCTCGAGTGATTTAGATAAGAATTAGTTATTTTAATTTACATCAATGTCGCTTTCTTCTATTGAAAAAAAATAAATTCTCAAAAATAGGTAAAAATATTTTAAAAAATTTATGTCCCTTCGTAAAAGTTAGTCCTATCGATATTAAAAATGTTAACAATTACATGCTACATATAATTATGAAAGTAAAAAGAAGAGAAAAAAAAAAGGAAAGTCAATTTTCATAAAAGAAAATTGAGAAATTTTTGCTTGTTTGAATTTTATTTGCATCTCCTTTTTGTAATTTTATGAGACACATCACTTCATATACACAAACCAACAAAATAACACTTTGACAGATACATTGCCAAATTCACTAAATTGGGACATTTTATGTGCTGCATCAACATATGTGGTTGTCACGTCTTATCACAGATTAAATTTAACAATCTTTTATAGTACCAAGTCACCTCAAGCAATTGGTTTTCCATAATTAAAATTGACATTTTCCAATCTACCTTATAGTAATTAAACAATGACTTAAGTCAAGGTATTATAACGATGGAGATCAAATTTTATAATTTAAATAGCGTACAAATGCTCGTAATCAAAAATTTTCATTGCTCATAATTTATGTGGAAATTATGATTAATTGTCGTAATTTTGATAAATTACGAAAGTAAAATAACTTTGAATTATCACGTAGAAAAATAAGGTGTTTATTGATTTTATTTTGTTGACAACAAAACAGATGTAACAATGTTTATGATCTATTCCTTTCATGGAGTAGAACAAATTCATGTGCACCACATTTTCTGACAGAATTAAATTCATCATATCTGTGTTTTTTTCTCTCTGGAGAATTCTTTCTTTCCTGCTGATTTAACACACAAAAGAAAACAACTGATCAGGAGCCACAACAACCCTTTGGATTTGACAACACCCAGAGGAGTCTTGATGAACAATGACAAGTATTAATCAAAGCCAGATGAAAAAAACGAAGTCGTGTTAAATTTTGTCTCCATGCAATACCCTCCACAACCCCAAAAATCCTTCCATTCAAAACCATAAAAACGATCGGCCTTGGCTGATGCAGATGACAAAAAGAAAAAGGAAAATATCAAGTGTTTAGTTACTTTCGAATGAGAAATCTAGAACTCTGTTCACTTGCATGGGAAAGAAGGCAAGTGCCGTATATTCACTGGGTAGCTGAGAAAACAATGTGCCCTGGGAAATATTGGCTAGCTTTCAGGCAGGCCACACAGTTTTTAGCTCTGCAATAAATGTTTGCAAATAAGCTATCTGCACAGGAATGTGTATGCAGTCGCTGTATTCAGCTTCATCTAGAATAATGTCGTGTACAACACTACAAGAAGCGAAAGTGTCGAGTCAGGGTGGTGTGTTTTGAAAGCAGAAAAAGACCCTTAAAAGAACCGGCAGAAATTGGGGTAGGAATTATGAAATGTTGCCTGTGATTAACAGCAGAATAACAAGTTTTTAGCATCATTTTTTACGTTTGAATACAGACTTGCTCTTTGAAAACATATGTATACGTTGTTACCTAGATGGGATCAGATTCCAAATTATCCAATTAATGTTTTAGCCAGTGATAATTGTGTCCATCTAGTAGCCTGGTTAGAAGGCAAGCCCCCTAAGTCACAATCATTCATTTATCTAATTAGATTTTGGGTATCCAGTTGAACGTTAAGACTGTTCAATTAGTTAAGTTTTGATGGTAGCAATACTATTAATTAGTTGCAGTGTTATTGTCTAGTTTTAAAGACGATATGTGATTTCTGTAGTATATTATCGGCAAGGTCTATTTGGGTTGGTTTGAGCAACGTTGCTGTCATTGACAATGATGGAATTAATGGACATTTCTGAAATCGTTTCCCACGTTTCTTCCTTAAACATCAACGGCCTTCAACCTGCTTCAATGCACTCAACTCTTCAATTCATGATAAGGCTAAGCACTTGACTCAGCTTGCTTTCATCTCTGTGATGATAAGTGCCAAATAAAATGCAATGAGTTCATAGTAGACATGAAGGTCCATGAAAAATAATTCAAAGGATTACACTTTCGGTCTTGTTTTTCCTTAATACTCTTAAGAGGAATTGACCTCAGTTCATCACATGCCAATTGCATTTAAATTCAAAAGTCTAAGAATAGAAGTTTATACTTAAGTTTCTTTTTCTGTCAAGACACCATAGGCCACCCCCGTCATAAATCTGTCTCCTGTCTCCAATCAAGATAAAAAATTGACGAAGCATGTTCCGGAACTATTCTTGTCATTGACGGCCATACGAATTATAGCCATTTGAATTTGTCATGTTGTTCTGTGGTGTGCGTTCTGGCCTAGGTCTTGCATACTCTGCAAAGATAACCCAACCATCGAGGAACTGCAAAAATACAATTGAAATTAGTTACCACAATCAGGGAAGGGAGGGAGGGAGATAATGTCGATAAATTACTTCCTGCAATCTAACCTCTTGCTTTAAAACTAAATAATATAACAGCAAAGCATGGTTCAATACAGTTTTACAAAAGTCCTAGACATATTAATTTCAAAAAGATTTGAAGGGTGTAGCTGGCAAAGCACCAACTGTGAGTGTTCATCTCCTAACTACCTTTGGACTATCTCAAACTGATTTCCTCCCTTCCCTCTAATTAAAAGAACCAAACATCAGTGATGGTTGCTCCGGCAAGAGATCAATGATCTATTAAGGCAAGAACTGCTAATTGAAAGAGGCTTTGCTTTAGGAAAAATATATAGATAATACAAAAGCATATGCTTGCCAGGAGAAATGAAAGTCTGATAAAAAGAGAATTAGATATGTGACCCAAGCCATTACAGCACAGTTGGGTGCATGGAATCAGCCATGCAAAGTTGAAAAGGTGTTCTTTTGTGGATGGTTTATTGGATCCAAAAGAGATTTTCTATAATTCATTTTTTGGAACAAATTAACACCTGCTGAAGTTTGGAAGAAAGACATGGATCTTTGTCCATTGTTTTATCACTTTCTTAGATCTCTTCAGGAGCAACCATTACCCTTTCTTAATTGTAACTATAACCTTAACACATGAAATCAAAACAAAGAGCATTCCAAACCCTGGAAACAAACCGATGAATGAACACATAAAATTTCCTCAAGGAAATGAATATTAAGAAACTAGAAGGAACTAACCTTGCCATCCATTCCCTCTCTACCTTTCTCAGCGTCCTCTAGGGTAGCATATCTTACAAAACCAAATCCCTTAGAATATCCTGATACTCGATCAGTCACCACTCTAGCTGTAAACACACAAAAAAGACAAATGTTTATTACTCTCAAAAGACAATTTTCAATTTTCAACAATCTTGTAGGTAAGGGAAACAAACCATCAACTACTTGTCCAAACTGAGAAAAGGCTTCCCGAAGTTTCTCTACGGAAGTGCGTTTGTTAAGCCCTGAAAACAGATTCAAATGGTAAATTACATCATAATATGAACCAGGAAAGGTAAACAAGTGACCCCTGTCAACATATATAATTGAACTAATGAGGATGTTCTTTGTGGAGATCTTACAAGTAATACATACATACATGTAGAATGAGAACAAGACATAGTAAGAGAATGACATGAACATGCAATAAGAGCATAAGTTCTCATAAAATAAGGAAAAGAAGAAAACCGCCCACAAATTAGAGTTTGAACAGAGGGAAATTTACAACCTGCCTGCCATCTATGCTCCTACCACTTTATTACCATATGAATCATCTGAAAACCTAACATCTTGGCCACTTGAGTAATGACTTCCACATGACTATCACCTATTTTGTCCTTTTCTACCCATGCAACTTCAGTCAACTCAGGCGAAAAAGATATCTTTAAACAAACCATCTTACATAACTATAATATCAAAACATAGAAGGAACTTATAATGCTTGGTCACTCAAATAATAGGATGATAAAACCAACAAAGGATACAGGGAATTCTAAATGTTACATGTTTAGTGGATGAACCAATAGGTATTCAGATAAAGGTTATCACAGCCCTCACAAATTGAGGTCAGATCCATGAATATGGGTCTCACATGAATGTGAGAGGATCATGACATACAAACTTTAGACTAAATAATAAGTTACTTCAATTGGAAAATAGTTAACACTTTTACACGCTTCGATTGCTTACAAGAATACAGCTCTCAGTTTCACTTAAACTTTGTCTAGTAATCAACCATTAGAATTAGCCATCAGAACATTTATCCCAAAAAAGATAGCTGAAACCATGTCAACTTTACAATCAATCACATGAGCTTTGAGCAAATGAACGCCCTGGTTATCAGACTCTCTAATTATTTTGACTCTTAAGCACACTGCATATTAAGCTCTGTGTCCTGTGACAACCAAATGAGATCAAATAATTCATTTTATACCTTACTAGTTACCAAAAAAGTTTCCAATCCTCTATTCCTTCACTTGTCTTTCCTTCTTCCAACCAAGGTGATACGTGCGCTTTCTCATTTGCTACTCACACTCCCCTTACTTGAATAACAATGCACTTCACTCAGCATAGGGAAATTCATACTTTTTAAAATAAATTTCATCATTTTTTGTTTTGCATCAAGAGAAAGGCAACATATAACAAATTAGAAAGCACAAATATCATATCTTTTTCTTTCTCTCACTTCTTTAAATGAATTAAATAGATAGAAAATACCAATTCTACCATGCGTTTCATTTCTTGACCAGTTAATCAAACCATTGGAAGAAAAAAAATTTCTTCCAATTTCCCACATTTCCAGCAACCAAATAAGCATAATAAGTTAATAACCCAATAAATCAGCATATAAGCAAAAACTATTAACCACCTAGAAAAGAACAGGACCAATTAAACGAAACCCTCGATAAAAAGCAAAACACAACTTTTCTTCCATTTTCACACGTTTTCCCACATTTACCCAGCAATCGAATAAGCAAAACAACCCATAAATCAACATATAAAATATACCTATAACCCAGAAAAGAACAGGACCAATTAAATCAAACCCACTAAAAAAGAACATAACTTTTCCTTTCGTTTCCCCACCATTACCCAGGAAATAAACAAGTGAACCAACACATAAAACAAAAATTACCAAAAAATTAAAAAAAAAAACAGAAAAGAACATGAGCAAACATAAAAGATATAGGTATAGGTGGAAAAGAAAAAGATACTTACCGGAGACAAAGAGGTTAGTACTCGGAGGAGCTTGCTCTCGACCAGGGGTTCCCTCACCGTTCCCCATAGCCGTAATTGGCGGCGGCATAAAGGAATTTGGTGAAGTTGTCGAGAACAACCGCCTCATACCCAGCGGAGCCATCCGAGCCGCCATCCCCGTCGTCGCCGCCGCTCTCAAAGCCATTAGATTTTAATGAAAATCAGGGTTTAAGACTTTCGGGCTTCAAGCTAAAACCCTTTGAAGAGAAAAGGGCGAAACTTTCGATTGGGTTATAAAGTGGTAAGATTTTGTGAAGTTACTAATTTGGGCTTACAAAGGGTGCTATAATCATATGTATATATGTAAATTCACTAATTTTGGAAAATATGTGCTAGAATGACAGAAATGCCCCTTTGAAGGAGGAGAGTATAATGTCATGGTGTGTAAATGAGTTGAAGAATGAGGATAGTTTTGGGATGCAATTTGGGTTCAAAAATAAGATTATAAGAAGGAAAAGTGTGTTAATTTGATTATTTAATTTTGTCGATATTGATATTGTTACTTATCGTATCTCATCATTTTTGTTACTTTTTTTATACAAATTTTATCAAAATTTAATTTATTAAACACATTATCACAAAAAAAAAATGTACAACTTCAATTAGATTAATATAACTTTATTATAACTTTCATTATATAACTTTATTAGATTAATACAACTTGAACATAAGTTTCGTTATATAACTTTAGTTAGCTTAATATAGGAGATCCACAATCATCATTGCATCCTTGGTAAGCCTAAACAAAGCTGTGTTAACTTGGGTTAAAACTCCCAATCCTTGCTTATTGCAATCAATGACAGCTTTGTTGACAGCATCAACACTTTGGTAGGTTTTATCATACTTGAGCTGATCAAAAGCTTGGAGACCTCCTTGGATTTGGTTGACACTGGCATTGTATGAATCTCAACAGAAGACAAGGAACCCCCAGGCTAGATAATCAGTTTCATTCTTGACCAAAGAATCAACATAGGATAAGGTGTGATTCAGTTTAGAAGCAGATTGCTCTACTGCAATCCTGCCTAGTCCTGCTAAGTTGGCACTGAGGCTACCACTATCCGACTCCAAAGCTGAGATGCATTCTTCAGGATACTCGGTTTGGTTGCAAGTCTTTGCGATTAGAGCCTTACCTGTTTCCTCACCAGCTACTAGGGAAGATTGATGGAAAACAAGAAAAGGGATTACAGCCATGAGCACCATAGCAGGGAAAAGATTACCAATTTGACTACCCATTTTTGGTTGCTAGGAAAGGATAATGATATGAGATTTAACCTCAATCAGATGAAGTTACTATGCCTGCCACCACCTTTGCATAAAGGAAGAGGCAAAAGGTTTTGCAAAGACAATATTTGTCCAAAAGGATTTGGTGCATTTTTTGATAAATGTTACGCAGATGAGAGGTACCTATGATTATAGGCAGTCAAGATTTTGACAAGGTTTGTTTAGGATTTTTGTAGCTCAACAAATTATGGGTCAACTTCATGCATAAAGCCATCTAGAATTAGTATAGGAAAGGCGTCAAGGATACCAATTTAGTCCAAATGAAGACTCAATTAACGAAGTTATCAAGAAAATTTGAGCCACATATTATAGGTCTAGAAGAGAAAGATATCAAAAAGAAAAAGGGTGTCACTTTGCTGTTGGGAGAAATGGTTTTGGAATTTGGATTAGTCAGAAATTTCTTTAAATGACTTTTCATAATCCCATTACTACTAATATTACAAACAAATTAAAATGATTCAAAAGAATATCTTATCGGTTTTAATTCGAATCTTAAGCTTTGTTTGGTAACCATGAAAATGGTTTCCAAAAGCCAATTTCCTTGCCCTATCTCTATTACCAACCACCATGAAACTCACTTATCTCCCTTGCTCCTCCCCTTTTTTGCTTCAATTTCAAATCACTTTTGTGGTTCTCTTTTCTACAAATCTTCTCTTTAGCTTCAACTTCAGCTTCAAATCTCTCTCTTTTTTAAATTATCGATCTTCAATCTTTACATTTATTTTTAATTATTTTTAATTGATTAATCCAATAATTGATGTCCATTTTACTTGTTCACACCATTTTGAACTGCTTTTCCTTCTTTTCTTCATTCTTGTGTATGTTCCTGTTGGTTTTGAAGTGTATTTTCAGGTTTCAACAGTTGTGATTTTTTTTATATTTTTTGAAAATGATTTTTGGCTTTTCGGGTAATGGATTTTTTTGGATTGACTTTCTAGTATTTTCATAAGTTTTAATGGTTGGGAATAGATGAATGTTTATATTTTTATGTGTTAAGGTGAACTTTGTTTTTAAATGGATTATGATAGAAAATATTTCTTATAAGTGATCAAAAATATAAAAAACTATTTTTCTCAATTTATTTAAATAAGAAAACATATTATATTTTCTGTAAAATGTTATTCATAGAAAAACTTTTCTTCAAACAAGTTAATTTTCGATTATCAAATGATCTTTTAATTTTAATTTATGATTTATTGATTTAACAAATTAATCAGTATAACAATATTATGAAAACTAAATGAATTTTATTTATTTATAATAGTTTAATATTAAAAAATATTTTGAATATATTGTATAATTGATGAATGTTAATATTTTTTGGTGTTATAAAAGAAAATTATTGAAGATAGGTGATGATGGAAAACTTTTTTTACAAGATAATTCAAACAACAAAAAATATTTTCTTCAATTTATTCAAACAACAAAAAATTTTAGATTTTTCTATAAAATATTTTACACGAATTATTTTTGTTCAACTAAATTTGATCAATATTAATATTTAACTTTAATAAATGAAAAAATTAATATCTAACTTAAAAACTTTTTAATTTAAAATATTAATATTCAAATTATTCAACGCTATTAAAATTAAAAAATATTTTTTAATGAAATTATTCAATGCAATCAAAATTTTTATTTATAAATTGAATAAATTTAACTAATAATTACAATAAAAAATATTTCAATATTGTCATTTGATAAATACACATTTATAAGTATAGGTTTTAAATTTTATTAATAGTTATAATAAAAAATATTTCAATAATCATTATTTAATGAAGAACCATATATAAATATAGATTTTGGAAGTCTTATATAATTGATGAATATTTATATTTTTATGGTGTTATGATAAAAAAGCAATGAGATGGACAAGTTTTTGAAAATTTAAGTTTATTTTCATTATAGATATGTGGTTAAATGTTTTGAAAAAGATCATTATTGATTTTATCTATTTTCATTCTTAATTTTGATTCCAAATTAATGAAAACCAAATATCAGTATTGTTTTATAATTAACTACTATTTACAAGATGAAAGGGGAGTTTGTAGAACTAAGAACTAATAACTGACTAGATTTTATGTATCCAAAAAATTATTATGAAAGATTGAAATTCATACTTTTAAATAACATCGGCCAAATTTATAATAACATAGTTTTTTAATATGATTTTATTATAGTTTAGGTAAATTTATAATTAGTTCATGATAGAATGATCCACGGCTTTCTTTGATATTTAATTATTTTATTCAATAGTCGGTGTATATGATTTTTTATTCAAAAAGTATAATTCGAACCTTTATTTTACCAAAAAAAAAGAAAAAGAGTTTTTTCAAGGAAACCATCTGGGACAGTTTTTATTATCAACATTAATTTATACATGACTTTTTTTAAAAAATTTGTTCTCTTTTTGGGATTAAATTAATGTGCATTTAGCAATCAGTCCAATCAATAAATAATTAATACACATAGATACATGCATATATAATTTTAATTTTTTTATAGTTAGAGGAAGTGAGATTCGAGTAGAGAGATTATATATTAACCAATAAGTCAAATACTTAAATTTAATCGTTAAATAAACACAAATTTCTTAAATCAAAATTAACTATTTCATTCAATATTAATATCGTTTTTTTTAAATTGAAAAAGAAAAAAGTTATTTTTCAAAAGTAGATAATACTTCCATCAAAGTTAAAAACATTAACGTGTTTAAATCTAATTGTTATTCATCAAAGTCATTTTCTTCAGTCAAAAGGAAAAATGCATTTTTATTCTCAAAATAGTAACAAGTATGGGGTAGAATTACAGAAATGCCCCTTTGAAGGAGGAAGAATAGAATATCATAGAGTGTAAATGAGTTGAAGGAATGAGGATAGTTTTGGCTTGTGATTTGGGTTCGAAAATAAGATTATACAAAGAAAAAGAGTGCTAATTTGATTATTCAATTTTGTTGATATTGAAAACGATACTCAACGAATCTCATAAAATCTATTACTTTTTTATACGAATTTCTTCGAAACTTAATTTATTAAATACATTATTAAAAAGAAAATATATAACTTTAGTTAGCTTAATACAGGAGATCAACAATCATCATTGCATCCTTGGTAAGCCTAAACAAAGCAGTGTTAACTTGGGTTAAAATTCCCAATCCTTGGTTATTGCACTCAATGGCAGCTTGGTTGACAGCAGCAACACTTTGGTAGGTTTTATCATACTTGAGCCGATCAAAAGCCTGGAGACCTTGTTGAATTTGGTTGGCACTGGCATTGTAAGAATATTGACAGATCACAAGGGAGGCCCAAGTTGCATAATCGGTTGCATTATTGACCAAGGAATCAACGTAGGATAAGGTTTGATTAAGCTTAGAGGCAGATTGCTCTACTGCAATCCTGCCTAGTCCTGTTAAGTTGGCACTGAGGCTACTAGCATCTGACTCCAAAGCTGAGATGCATTCTTCAGGATACTCAGTTTGGTTGCAAGTCTTTGCGATTAGAGCCTTCCCTGTTTCCTCACCAGCTACTAGGAAAGATTGATGGAAAACAAGAAAAGGGATTAGAGCTATGGGCACCATGGCAGGGAAAAGATTACCCATTCTTGGTTTCTAGGAAAGCAGGATGCAAAGAAATTCAACTCCAATGAGATAAAGTTAGGAAGAGGCATAAAGTTTTATAAAGAAAATATTTGTCAAAAAGGATTTGGTGGATTTTATAATTAATATTATATTACATAGCATGAATCTACTTAGGAAAGTTATTTATGTAACGGATTCCATAACTCCAGGAAAATCACCTCAAATAAGAAGTAGAAAAGGAAAAAGATCCCTTAAATATTAATTAATTGAACTATTCCTTCTTGAATTTAGTAAATTTAATAACGCATTAAATGCAAAAAAAAAAAAAATATATAATATTTTAAGTACCCTTAATCAGTGTTTATGCATAGACACCCATTAACCGGATTAATAGATACAATCTTACAGCCTCTTTTGCATTGCATGTTTGATAGGATTTTCCATCACTGGTCAGCTTGTCCTGCAGTTCCTTGTTGACATCGAAGAGCAGTGGTAACGTGTTTGTATATGTTCAGGTAAAGAATCTGCAGCTGCAACTTCTCATCTGAAGCTAAATAACCATTATTAACTGGGTGATATTAAGACAGAAAGATCAATAATGAAGCAACATTGTTTGGATTGAAAACCGTTCATATAAGCAAACACCTTTCAATGGCATCAGTAAACAGGTTCAGCTCTTCCAAGGTGAGATAAACATCAGGCTATTGCTATTGTTCCTGTCATGTGTTTTCTATGGAAGGAGAGTATTTGGGCTTATAGCAAAGTCCCAGAATCAGAAAGAGAAGCATTCCACCACACTATCCCTTGCAAAAGGCATTGCTTTTGAGGCAAAATCAAACTTCCTTCCACCGCCTGCAATAATTCTCGAGATATTAATAAAACTAAAAACATAGACAATATGATTCTCAAATAATTTAATTTAGGGGTTAATTGAATTATTAATACGTTTCTTCATGGTTAATTTGGATAGAACATTCTTTCACAAAATCAACCCAATTATGATATAAAGACAATCTATCTCCAAAGAGTTTCAAAGTGTTGAAATTTCCTTCTATTTTGCATGCATTATGCATTATGCATAATGCATATGCTTCTTTCCAACTACTTGCAAAGCTGGACAAGGATGGATGCGTGCAAGTATAGTCAAGCTTATGGATAATCATCTAAAATCTTTGTTTTCCACATCAAAAAAACATGAAAGAAAGAAAAAAAAAGTATGTCTTATATCATGCAGTGTCAATGAATATTAATTTAGACAAAATGTATAGTATTTTATAAAAAAGACTTGTCTATATATGTTAGGTAATATCGTTTTTTTTTTCGACTTTTGACACATCAATTTGATTTCGAAAACTTATTTTATTGTATTCTTTTCTTATAATTCGAAATTCAGAACATAATAAGAGTTTCAAAAGCTGAAAATTAATTCGATTAAGGAAAAATTGAGGGAGAAGAATTATCCATCCAAAAAGCGTATATAGTGAACAAAAAATGAAGAAAAAAAAAAGAGAAAAAGCAATGGAAAAAATGGGATATTCCAAGAAAATTTCTTGACTAGCATGTGTCAGCAGGGCATGGAACAAAAATTGATAACTTTTCCACCCAATTCATGCACATCCCAAGCTTCAACTTGAAGGTTATATAGTCAATGGATCCAATCCTCCACTCAATTGGTACATGGCAATGTCCAATCTAGGTGAGATTCCTATATTATATGTATTTAATCATTATTTAATCATATAAAGCATGCAATATTTCTTTTCTTACCAAATTTAATGGGAACCCAAGCTTTGACCCTAACGTTTTGTATTTTTCTTTATCCAAAAATTATACAACTACCAAATTAATCAAAATGTTTGAATAACTTGTAATTTTATATTAAATTTTAAATTTAAAAGTAATTTTATAGATAAAAATAAAATTAAGAATCAATCGATTAATTATGTGTCTTCTCAATAATTCTTAAGTCTAGAGTTCAAATCCTTGATCTTGCAAGTTAGGTATTATTTTTCTTTTCTATATAATATTTTTTTATAATTATAATTAGTTAATTGTAGTGTACTGATCGAAAGAGGTATGTTCTGGAAAAAAATTTATTATAAGAAACTAATTAGTTATTATATTAGAAAAAGAACTATACGCTTTAGCTTTATCATTCATACATGTCATCTTCGTGGGTCCTAAATCTGTGTTATTAATAAGCTTTCTCTACAATAACGTGTTCATGGAAGGCAAAGATAGCTTACACAAACAACTTCACACCAGGCCACCTTATAGCCCATCCCTTCAAGCATCTTCACCTGCTGGAGAGAATTTGCCCCAATATATTTCTTCTTCAGACTGTATTCTTAGACTTTACAACTAAGATAACTAACATTGTTTTTCCTTATATAGTAGTATCCTGCAGGCAACAACCTACCCCTCTCATTAAAAACCTTTTCGAAGCCCAGCTATAGCTACACCTATGTCAATCATTACCCTGCTGGTCTTGTTTTTGATAACCAGGCTCTTTTTTGTCAGCTCAGAATCTGTTAGGAGAGCTGATTTCCCTCAAGGTTTCACCTTTGGAACAGCTTCTTCTGCTTACCAGGTGATGTTAATTAGCTAGTTGGATAGACAGATAACCCTGTCTTTGGTTTTGGTTTTTGGAAAAGCATTGCTTAATTTGTATGTTATAATCTGGTATATAGTTTGAAGGAGCTGTCAATGAAGGAAACAAGGGAGACAGCATATGGGATACCTTCACTAGAAAACCAGGTAAGGTATTTATACCATAAATCCCAGAAAGGAAATCATAGTTCCAATATATTCAGCTTTTTCTTTTTATGTGTTCTACCAGGGAAGATTATGGACTTCAGCAATGCAGACACAGCTGTTGATCAGTATCATCGGTTTGAGGTGACTTACATGTATAGATATAGGCAAAGAATATATATGATTATGATGATCAATTCAAACTCTTTTCTTTCTTCTTCTGTTTCCCTCTGAAGTTGATGATAGGATAGCCTTTTCTGTCATTCTTTGTAAAGAAAGCTGGTGGAAGGAAACTTTCTACCCCACCAACCCGAAGGAAAAAGAAAACCCAAAAAATAGTCAAAAGTGTAAAGAAAATTGATATGAAAGCTTAGTGCACCGCCCAATAGCTAAGGAGAATCCATTTGGATAAGAATCAATTATATAAATTACATAATCATTCTTGGTAATTATGGAACTGATATGTAAGGACAAGAAGACTGGATGATGAAGATGTGTCACCAATTTATTAAATAATAGAATAAAAACACATGAGAAAATTCAAAGAAGACAATATGCATAGAGTCAAAAAAATATTTATATATTAATGTAAGTCAATCCAAAGCTTTAGTTTGTCTTTTACTGACCAAATTTTTGACAGAGCGATACAGACTTGATGAAGGATTTGGGAATGGATGCTTACAGATTTTCAATATCTTGGTCAAGAATATTTCCAAGTAAGCTTTAATAAGGTCTGAAGTTTCAGTTTTCTTTTGTTCTTTTATCATCTGATAATATCAGTAATTGCTTTAGAATATTATTGTCAATAGATGGAGCAGGGGAACCTAATGTGGAAGGAATAAACTACTACAACAGACTCATTGATGCTTTGATAGAGAAAGGTTGACTGTAAGAACATTGCTGAGAGTTAAAACTTTCATGGAGTAGATAAACTTATTGAAGCTTTAGCTCTTGTTTTCAATCAGGAATCCAGCCTTATGTAACTCTATATCATTGGGATCTTCCACAGATGCTTGAGGATAAATATGAAGGATGGTTGAGTGGACAGATAGTGTAAGTATTACAGAATTGTGCATATGAAAATCTTTGCAGATAGAAAAAAGAACAGATTTCACAAAGAGAATGCAATTAATTACAGAGATGACTTTGAGCATTTCGCCTTTACTTGCTTCCAAGCTTTTGGAGACAGAGTAAAACACTGGATCACCTTCAACGAACCTCACGGTTTCTCAATCCAGGGTTATGATTCAGGCATTCAAGCTCCAGGAAGGTGCTCAATTCTTGGGGGTCTACTTTGTAAGACAGGAAACTCATCCACTGAACCATACATTGTAGCTCACAACATCCTACTGTCTCATGCTGCGGCTTATCACAGTTACAGGAAAAATTTCAAGGTATCCCGAATCAAATGTTTCATAACACATCACTATAATTGTTCAATGAAAATTAGTAAAAAAGTATTGGAGATGGTACATCAGGTTTTTGATTCCTATATCTTGGCCTTTCAGGAAAGACAGGGAGGGCAAATTGGAATAGCACTGGATGCCAAATGGTATGAACCAATCTCTGATAGCGATGAGGATAAAGATGCAGCAAGTAGAGCCATGGATTTTGGGATTGGATGGTAATATCTGATGCTAATTTCTACACTTTACGTCATAACAGAATAAATCAAATTCTTGAATCAGATTCCTTAATCTGCTTTTCATTGTATCAGGTTCCTTGATCCACTTTTCTTTGGTGACTATCCTCTTTCAATGAAAATGCTTGTTGGAGAGAGATTACCTAAAGTCTTACCAGAGATGTCCAAAATTCTACTGGGGTCTCTGGACTTCATTGGCATAAACCATTATACCACATTATATGCCAGGAATGACAGAACTCGCATCAGGAAACTAATCTTGCAGGATGCTTCATCTGATGCTGCTGTCATTACTACCTGTAAGTTGCCAGAACATAATCTTTTATAAATCTTTGCAATGAAAATATGAATTCATAGAAAACTAATAATTTCATATACATCTTTTTAATGGTAGCTTTTCGAGGTGGAGCTGCAATCGGAGAAAGAGTATGTCTTGACAACTTACTGTGAAACCTAAATTTTTGTTATAGAAATCATATATAAAAGTCAGCTGGTGCTGATGAGTACTCCTCCTCCAGGCAGCTTCACGCTGGCTACGCATTGTCCCATGGGGCATCAGGAAGTTGGCTAGATATGTGAAAGATAAGTACGGGAATCCACCTGTTATAATAACAGAAAATGGTGAGTACATTCAACCTCAGAGCTTCACCTTCAAGCTTCTAGGAAATGTTACACAGTTTACACCCCTGCAGGCATGGATGATCTAAATAGCCCATTCATAAACGTAAAAAAGGCCTTGCAAGATGACAAGAGGATAAAATTCCACAGGGATTATCTGTCAAACCTATCAGCTGCTATAAGGTAATCAACAATCCTGCTACAGTTTGTAATTCCTGCAGTTCTGAACTGGGGTGCTTCAAAATCAGCTGTTTCAATTTGAAGTCAGCTGTTTTGATTTGAAGCACTATTACATAGTTAGCTGACAGAAGATGTTGAAAATGAACACAGGGAAGACAACTGTGATGTGCGTGGTTATTTTGTGTGGTCTTTGCTGGATAACTGGGAATGGAACTCTGGCTATACCGTCCGGTTTGGACTCTACTTTGTGGACTACAAAAACAACCTTACAAGGATTCCAAAGGCTTCAGTTGAATGGTTTAAAGGTCTACTCAGACCAAGTCATTTGAGCAATTTGAGGAACCAGATTTAGTACTTCTTGTTGAATCTGCAACAATATGTAAATGTCACACCATTGAAATTCGAAAAGGAAAATAGTAAGAAATATAAGGAATGAAAGATATACCATGACGGCATGGATCAATCCTGTTTTTCCTCTTTCCCCAATTCATCTCCTCTATTTTCTGGTGCCAGTTCACCTAATCTTATTGCATCAAATATGTGACCTCAATTAGGAGGAAATCATTTGCAACATGCCAAAACCAATATTTTCTGCACAAGTTGCTGAAAATGGGTGACAGATGACTAAAGCTAATCATATTCA